ATGCAAATATTCCTCTCAGTCACACTAGAATCTGACTCTTCGCAGATCTTCAACTCTGTGGAACAGACATGGCAATACGTTGGCCTTGTCTGGTCCTGCAGTCTGTGATAAGGGACTTGAATGCCTTAAAACTGGCTCAAATACTATGTCACATGGAGAAATGGTATCGTTTCCAAATTGTCTGTGTTACTGCTTGGCACAAAGAGCTCAGGATTTTCTTCCTTGAAAAGTCCTCTGTGAAAGCTGAAGGCTTGTTAAGTATACTGCCAACGTGGGTAATCCCAGCATTAGGAAAATTGTCAGTTATTCTTTTGGTAACTTTAGAAATCTGTCAGTATGAAGCAGGAAAAGAACTGTAACCGTTTTTCTTATAGCATATGGGCTACATATCTTAGCATGCTTCTCTGCTTTGTGTTACTGCGGTCTTGACCTCTTAATTCTACATTTGGGGAAGTCATTGTTCTTGTTATAGTTCCTTGCTATGTCTTTGGTATAACTCCTTCCCGATCACTGAGTCACTTTCTGTTTTTAGATTTAACTTCACTTTAGCTTATTGTTATGACTAAATCCTACTGACTTGCTTCCCGAAGCTCTTGTCACACACTAGGTGAGGTGGAAAAATATTGCATTCTTTTCTTAGAGCATGTATCAGCCTTTCTCTTTTCTCTCGAAACAGTGAAACATTAACTAAAAAGGGTTAAGAAAGACATGCCAAAAAGCATGCCAAAAGCACTAGGATGAGGCTAAATGAGAAGGTGCTGCTACTGCAGCAAGTTTTTCCCTGGTGTATAAGCACTGCCTAAAACTGCATCACCGGTCAATTATTGATAGAAAAATCTATTTCCACAGCTCTGTTAGACAGCCTCAGTGATGAGAAACTAACGGGTAAGTGGTTACATTTTGCTACTTCTGCTGTAGAATTATTTTAAATGAGTTTCTGTTTCAGTGGGAGGTCCTGGTATGGCTTTATTTTGCAGGATGTAATCTTTTTTGTCAAATTCATTTTATGTATATTTGTTGTTGCCCTTATCAGTAATCTGTGTGCAGAAGAATTTGTTATATCATACTGCCACATGCTGCTACCATTTTTTTTTTTCTCCGCTACTGCTTTCTATTGCAGGCTATGTGAAGTGACAAAAGCATTCAAACTGAAGGTAGTGTATGTTTTTTGTACATATTTTGGTTTGAGTTCAATTCTTGTTCATCTCAGGTGCTGTTTCTTCTTTTTTTCCTTTCTCGGTTCCTCATCTCATACCTGCAGATTGTCTTTCCTTACAACAAAGAGAGAAACCATGAGCATCTTCTGAATATAGTGAAATTTTATCTATTAGCTAAGCAATTTTTTTTTTCTGGAGAGCAGCATGAAGCTTTTCCTACACATCTATAAATTTTTTCCAGTATATCTGTATGCGAGAAAGAAATCCTTTACTCAGAGAGTGGTGAGGCACTGGAACAACCTGCCTGGAGGAGTTGTGGATGCCACATCTCTGGAGGTACTCAAGACCAGGCTGGATGGGGCCCTGGGCCGCCTGATCTGGTGGGTGGCAACCCTGCCCATGGTAGGGGGTTGGAACTGAATGGTCTTTAAGGTCTCTTCCAACCCAAGCCATTCCATGGGTGACAATGGGTGACCTGTGCTTTAATTATATACCTGAACTGTGCTTTCAGGGCTGTTATGGAATTGGAACACTGTGATTTTAAGCCAACAGCATTCAATAGAAATACCTACGCTTACTTTATTGGGCAATATCCTGTAGCGTATTTGCATTTACACACTGGACTTGAGACAAATATTGTCACAGGCACAGAAGAATAAACATTGTAATTTTCAGCCTAAGATAGTATGCTAAATAAAAAACTGGAGCACCTTTCAACCGTGCTTATATTCATTGGGGAAGTTTATTACAGCATAATAAATGACTACTATTCTTTCTTTTGAATATTTGGAAGCCAGCTAACTTTGCAGCCAGCATGTATTTGCCTTTTAAATTTATGCCCTTCTGCTTCACTAGGACTGTAGCTTTCAAATTTAAGATTAAAGCAATGAAAAATCAAGTTGAACCTTGGAAGTAAATTAAATACCCTATGGCTCTAGTCTCTGACTGAGGACTGTTATTTCAGTGCATTTCTTGAGTGTAGCTCTTAACCAATACACAATGGCTTTTTGCTGCTCAAAAAAACACTCCAGAACCAATTGCTTTTAAGTGTTTCTTTTTAGGAGCTGACAAAGATGGATGAGGACAGGGCTAACTGTGACATTCTTCTAATCTTGGATCTGTGCTACTGCTGTGATTCCAGTTATGAAGGGAAATATGTGTGCTTCAGTTACTTACCTCATCAGATTTTGTAGATATTTTAAATTACAATAAAACCTACAATACCATTGCCAATACAACCGTGGTTTTGATAAATAAACTGTTTAGTACTTACAGTAAGGTAGAGGTTATGATTCAGAAGGTATATTATTCTGAATATCCTGGAGAACTACTTTTTGGTCAATAAATTTTGTGGTCTAATTATTATTGGCTTTTGGCAAAAACTAAAGCTGGTGTGTGGGAAATGTGGTGTACATTGTTTTTCTTGTTTGTTTTGGTCATTCCAAGTGTTCACTTTATGTACAAAATTTAAGGCATGTTATTCTTCTAGACTTTCTGACTGCTTTCTGTATTCCTCTGTAGGTAAACAATACAGATATAAAACATTCCTATAATAGGATACTGGAGTTGCATCTCGTTATTGATGAAGACAGAAATTCTATTTGTATCCCCTACATTGAATTAAAGTAGATAATAACCTGGGATTTGTAACCAATTCTGCCTTTAAAGCAGTTTTTATAAATCAGGTCAGTTGCTGTTAAAGAGGCTCCTGTGGATCTGCATCCTTTCCCAACTGCTGAATTTCTCCTTTTTTCATTCGTAAAAATATTTTTAAACATTGTATTTTAAATGATGTACCACATTAAGGCCCAAATACTAAGCTGTGGGGAGGAGTTTGTTTTTACTTAGTGCTTTGTAGATTCTGGAGTTTCTCACCTGTTTATCAGCTGTTTGAAAAGTATTACTACCACTAATATACTACCACTAATAAAATACTACCACTGAGTGCTGTTTGCAGTTATCTTAGTGAGGTTGTTGGCCAAAACATATCATGTTCATTACAATACAGGAGATCAACCAGCAGTCCCCATACAGGCACCTTGGTACTCCCAGTGAAGCTGAGCAAATTGAACAATAGTAGGAAGTGATGATACAATATGGTAAACAAGTTAGTGATTGTGTAAGAGCAACTTTCTTGTACTTTCATGACCAGAGAGAGCTTTGAATAGATGTCTCTTGTGAGTGCACTTGGTAACATATTCAAGTCTTGATTTTTGTTTAGCATTTTCGCATTAGGTGCTGAAATTGCAGGCAAATGTCTACTAATTTATATTTCAAGCTGCTATGGAGTATCCTCCTTGTTGCTAAACATTCTTTTGTGACAGTTCGTCAGAGTATTTGTGGGCCATGTGTGATGATTGCAGATTGTCTTCAGGTGGGCTGAAATAGCTTGATGATCTGTGGGCCTGGAAAATGGGAGATGCTATGGGACAGACTTTGTGTGGGGCTAAGGTGTGGCTCTTGAAACACACAGGTCTGTAGAAATGCTGTATGTCCCTGAACTTGAGGCCAATTTCCTACTAAGCCAACAGCACCAACTTGAAGCAAGCATGTAATAAGTAGGAAAACCCTTCACTACTATGATGAACACAGATCTAAGGGAGCAAAAAATCTTATTTAGGTCACACTGAAAATACCAGACTCTGATATTTGCTCGGTATATGCTCAGCAGTCTGCTTTCCCTTACGTCTTTTCATGTTTCTGTGAAATTTTTGTTATTTCTATTTTCTGTGTAACTGGGGAATAAGAAGGGGAGCACTGTGCTTTGCCCTTCCGTATCTGTGGTCATCTGCCAAGTGGTGTAATTGCATCTGGAGTGCACCTCCATTGCAGGGTGAAGGCTTCTTATGTCAGGAGCTTTGGGGATTTCTTCTGAGCTACTGTGCATTTCCAGACACTTTTGACAACACTGAGTAAATTGCACTAATAGACTCAGATGAAAGCAGTCTGAGAGTTTCAAAATCTATATTAAAATATTCAACTGTTGATAATTACTTATCTTTACACAGGGAGTTCAGTTAATTCAAATAAAACTGGCAATCCAATTTTTGTAGAGCATCACCTCAGTAAATACAGGAAAAAAAAGGTAGAACAGTGAGAAACTTGAGAAATGTCTGTTGTCTTTGAGAGCTATTGTCATAGATACCACAGCTTGAGCTCTGAGGTCAAGATTTCAGTTTATATGTGTAAAGCTAGGTACGTGCAAGGCCTCATGACTTTTCAAACTGGTTACCAAACATGGAGTGATTTGTTAGTAAATTATTCTATAGTAAATTATTCTATCATTCTTAATGCTTAAATCTATTAAACTACATCTATTTTAAATGTACATATGCAAACTAGCCTTTTTTTATTTGAGTACACGGTATCAGTTTAATAGTTACTGATGGGATCCTCATTTCCTTGGAGAATCTCACTGATTTTGAGTGCTCTTTGGAATAGATTCTCAAGTTGCACTGTTTTATTTTAAGTTTGAATTTGATATTCCCCCGGTCTCTATTTTGATCTGATTAAGTCAACCGTTTTCTGGGATGCTTGCTCTTTGGGGAAAAAAGGGCTTGATGACGTGAGAGATACTATTTAGTGTTAGAAAAATAACCTTTTCATTTCCATACTGCATCAGGACTGAAAGTGAAGGATCATGAAAGGCAGAGGTCATGTGGAAGCACCGTGGAACAAATAACTTGGGAAATGAAAGAATGGTTTGTTCAAAAATGCTTTTATGTAATCTAGACCAGAAGAAAATCTTTTGGGGAGCATAATAACTTCTTCTGATGAACTTTAATTTTGTAATAACAAAAAAGAGCTTTTTTAAAAAAAAAAAATTTATTTTTCTCCCTGCAGTGAATTACAGCTTGTAACCAAGGAAACAAGCAGTATTCCATTTATTATAAAACCTGGTTTTCCTTCTGTACCCGACTGCACCCAGGCGTCCTCGGAGCCTCTGTTACTATTACTTTCGTCCTGTTACTTTTGTGCATCTTCTTGAAACTGTTTCCTTTGATGGACTGAAACATCTGTCTTGGTCTCTGTGTGAGTGCAACATTGTTACCCTTATCAAGAGTACCTGACCTCAAGAAGGGACCTCCTTGTTTCGCTGGCCATTGCTTCCATGGTTTTCTCCGTGTCTCAAAGATTTGACATCTATTAGAGGGGTGCATAATTCAGCTGTGGTGATTAAAATTCTCTCTTTTATAGACCTGTCAATAGAAGAGCTTCTTCACAGATCAGTTTGAAGAGATTTTTCTGAGAATTACTCAATCTAGTGACTTTGTTTTACATATGGCTTAACTAATTGTCCTCAGAGTACTCCAGAGGTCACCATAAATCTTTACTATCCAGTTGTGGATGCGCGCCAGCAAGTTGGTTGGCTGGTAGTCCGTAAGGATGGGAGCTGAGAATTTCTATTACAGTTTTGAACACTACGTCTGTAGATAAAATATTCATGCCTGGGTGTTTGTGGTCCCTATTAAATAATCTGAAAAGCATTCTACTCTTAAGAGTAGAATATATAAAGAAAAAGAGGAAGTCAACAACATAGTGTAGATTTGAGCTTTATGGACTACTTTCAGAGTATCATGACTTTATAGAAACTCAGGATAGATATTTTTCTCTGTTGCATCAGCTCTGCAAGTTGCTTGATTTTTATTGCTAGATATAGCTTGTAAATCGGAGTATATTTGTAAAGGCTGCCATTTCTAACAGGGAAATATTAGTCATTTTGACATTTTTTCCAAACTTGAAGGTTTTTAGCCAGTACAGCTGTGAAACAACTGCTCGGAATCTGTATGTATGCATACAAGTCCTTAATTGGCAAACAGACATACTTAAATGTTATTCCCAGAAACTAAACATGTCTTGTACTCTGGTGGTATTCTTAGCTTGAGAAACAGATAACATGCAGTATCCAGTGAGTCACTGTGTCCAGAACTGCTTTTCCTTAGCTGTGCTGGTAAAGAGGACGCGTGCTTCACTTTCACTGTCTTTGTATCTAATTTTAGCAGGAGGACTTTCAGGGCGCCTTCTCAGCTGAGGATGTCCAAAGCATTAAAACCTCAAAATGATCTGCCAGTTTTGATTCAGTTTGTTCTCAGTGTCAAACACTGTATCTACCTCTAAGGCTCTGCCTTTTATTACCTGTTGGATAAATACAGGTTGCAGAGTTAATTTGCACAACTCTGAACAGACACGAGGGTGATGTTTTTGTTTTCTTTCAATCAGAAATCATAAAAGAACATCATAATCTATTCCATTAGAGAGCTTTTAAGGATAGCTTCTCTCTTGAAATGAAGGAAGATCTTGCAGCTCGATCTACCTGTTTTTAGAATTTGTTACCATAAATGTGACTTGTCTGGAATAGAATAATTATTCTTTCCTTCTCTCTGATAAATATACATACAAGTAATGCTGTGATAATGTTGCCAATGTACATCTTGCCCAAACTTATGATAAAATTCATTTCACATCACAAATCATGGCTAAAACTTGACTTTTTTACTGCAATTTTTGCTATATATAGCAGAAGAAATTCCTCATGCTCTGTACAAAGTTATTTTAAGTAAGTTTTGCAAACACCGCATGCAGCAGTATGAACTCATCTAAAGCTTGGATAAAGAACTTTAGCCAAAGTCATGCACCTGAATGTTTAGACCAGAATTTCCCTCCTGAGTGTTTTTCTAATGTTTTAGCTTGTTGTTCTCATGTATGTGGGATTTTCACATGTTGAAGTGTATTCTGAGATTACAAAAAAAAAAAAAAAAAAAAAAAAAGTGAATTTTTTTAGCAATAGACATGACAAGCAAGACTGTCTTTTAAATTTCGTCAGTTGTGTCATGAAGTATCTTGAAACTGTGGTCATGTGTGGTCATGTATTACATGATTACTGACCAATAATTTCTAAAAATGCTGATAAAAAAGAAAGTGGAAAAAGGTTATTAAAATAATTTCAATTATTTTCCCTTTGATATCTTAAAATGCATAATGCATGGTGTCTGATTTCGATATGTTAATTTAAATATGGTTTTAAATTCCTATAAATTCATTGGGATTTGAAGAGTCAGAAATTTGCAGTCTCAGTTGAATTCAGTATTGCCTGTTTTCACTCCCCAGTCTTCTGCACATAAATGAAAATAAGGCAGTGAGATAGTATAATCTTGTAAATTAATACTGCAAAATTATTTTTCCCTGAAACAAAATGGTTGAACTGCATTAAAGTTTTACATCTACAATAACTTGCTTTATCCCTGAAGTGTTACTTTTGACTTATTAGACACAGTTCCATAGTTAGTTTTCTACTTTTTATTTTTATTTTTTTTTTAGGATTTATGTATAACAAAATGTCTTGTAACTTTCAAAACAAATAATTCTCCATTCCAGAACTACTTTTTGCTACAGCCAGAGACCGAAATGGTACGAATAGAGCGCTAAAATCCCATCATTTCGACAACTCCATCATTTTCTGAGAACCTGGAACGTAATTTGGGCTCTGCTTCAGCACTGTCTTAGATTATAATGCCATCCTTGCCTAATGAGGGAGGTATGCAGGTCTTATATTTTTTCTGTAGTCTATTAATTATTTCTGTTGTCTTGTACCTGTAAGTTGCAGTGAAGCTATAACTGACTAGTTTAGATGCTACTTGATGATATTATGGTTTTAGTTCATTTGTATACATTTTTTAAGACACAAATGTTATGCTGATAGTTAAAACATTATTTTTCAAAGATAACCATGGAACTGCTGCTGTGACTTTGCAATCGGAACTACCCTACCAAAGCACAATTAAAAGAAAAGTCAGAAAGAAGAAGAATGGAGTCATCACTGCAAATGTTGCTGGCACAAAATATGAAATTGGTAGGATGCTACATATCTTGTTTTCATCACAATAGCCATTGATGTGAGTGAATTGCTAACTAATGGGATGAATTAATGGGCTTTGCAGAGTGACAGTGAGTCAAGTCCAACGGATTTTATTTTCTAGGAAACCTTAGTTCTTTTTGTTTTGTAACATTGTGTTGATGATTTTGAACACTGTACATCTACTACTCATGGAAGGGCTTTGAAGTGAAAAAAACCTAATTAATCAAGGTGTCTGTGGAAAAAAAAAAGCACCTTAATTATGAATCAGGTAAGTGCTTGAAGATATACTTAAAGCCTTAGAAGATGAATGGTGTAAATTTAATGTTGAATACCCTTATTATTATATTGAGGTTTCTCAATTAAAATCTAATAAAGTTTTACATTTTAATGCTTGGAGCTACTATCACATTAAGTATATAGTTTGCATTCTGCTGTGGAAGAAAAAATGTGGAATACTAGAATATTGTAATTTGGCCTCAGGCTTTTAAATTGTGTGTTTGTGGGAACAGCATGGTATTTCTGTATTGTGGTGGAATAGTGGAAGAGAATCTGGGAGGCAGCACTAATGCTGATTCTTGATTAAGAGCAAATAATAACACTGAATATATGCACAATGAGTTTGTTCTGATAGTTGACAAACAAACAAAGAAAACCCCCACAAAAACCCAAAAGGTGAAGAGTGAGGATGTGTAGCTTATCCTTCTCAAAAGGATAATTATTAGTGACTGAAGAACAACGCTTCCTCTAGCCTTATTTCTTTTCAATTGTGTAAATATTTCAACGCATTTTTCAGAGACTGCAGGGCTATTAATTATTTCAGAGACTTTCAATAGCATCTGTGAAGCTTCAAAATGGACTGTCTAGGCTGGAAGCCAATGGAGAGTTTCTCTCAGGTTCAAGTTGAACTAATAATGACAAACTTCCAAATTCCAAACTCATAGTACATTCAAATAGACTTGCTGATTTTTTACCAGGTGGGGAAAATGTAAAATCCAGAGATGTGCCTTCTCTAGAGAGGTGGTATCAGAACAGACTTATGGGTTATATTGTATATGGTTATATGGGTAGCGCAATTAATAACTTAAGGCAGAAAATATCTCTTTTAAATTTCTTTGTTTTGTAAGTTTTTCAGAAAAATCTATCTTAGAACCTGTGTTATGCCTGGCACAGACAGACTTTTCTTTTTTTTTTTATCTTCAAATAATGTGTGCATGTGTTTTTGTAGCTGTAGTATTCTTGACTAAAGAAGCCTTGTCCCTTCTGCAATGATGCTTATACGCATCATATTATTAAAATTAACATAAATGATGGTCAAGATTAAATCTAAAAGCTGTGCAAGTGGACCTTTACTAGATCATTGTGGAATAACTTGAAGTTATTTGTGGTTCCCCACAGTGATTGCCCTCTCATTTAAGCACTAGTACAAAGTCCTATAATGTTGTAGTTACAGTTTTGAAGTAAGCTAATGGAAATATTTCAAGTTAAATAAGAGCTTGCATTCTAATATTGCTCTTAAACATAGGGTTGAATGTTACATATGTTCAAAATCTTGATTATTTTTTCAAGTTTTGAAAATTAATGTGCTTTAGATAGTAAAAATATTCCTTAACTATGCAATTTCTCTGTAGTACGCATTGCAATACAAGAAATGGGATTTGTGAAAACACGCGATGAAGATGAAACAGCTAATCTTATTTGGAGTGATTCTGCTGTGCAACAGGAAAAGATTGCTGAACTTCGGAACTATCAGGTAGAGCCATAGTTTGTACTTCTGGCATGTTTCAGTAAACTGTTTCACTTGGAGTCCTTCAGTAACACCTTTTGGTCAGTTGCGTGTACAGAGAGGGAAAAAACAAAAGAGCAAAACAATGCTAGGCAGACTGTAACAAGACTACACCACTATATATTTTGAAAAATTTATTCTCTTTTCTGTAGTTATTTGTTCATACCATTCGGAATCTGGTGTTTAAATGTTTGGAGCTATTCGTTCATGCTTTTGTCTGCCCATGAGATGCTATGAATAGTCACAGTTAAGAGAAGATACATTCCCTTGAATGATTTAGATGTAATAGTGATTACATTTGCCTGAGCATGGAGTTGAATGTTTTGAGTGATTATTGGTATTGATTTTACCAGAAAAGCTAAAAAGTATCCGTTTACTTTCTCTTCTTACTCCTCCCTCAGAGAATCAACCATTTTCCAGGAATGGGAGAGATCTGCAGAAAGGATTTTCTGGCAAGAAACATGACTAAGTAATCTTTCTTTTAGTACTAAGAAGTTTTTTTTCAGTGATTTAATGCAGTAAAATGCTGAATTATTGCAAGGTTTGTTTACCTTTAAGAAGAGGCTCTGAGAGGATCAAGAATAATCTTCAAAGTTCCTCTGGCTTTTGGTCATGGACCTGTAGTACCTGTCTGGGCTTTATTTTATCGTTCTGGTTGACTTGAGTGGGAAATGATTTGGTTCAGCTTTGTGTCTATTGCTGCAGAATGCCTGAAGTAGCTTGACATTATTATGTAATACATGTAATATATAGAGCCAGAAATAGTTCATGTAATGCTAGAAAAGTATAAATGACAAGTATGTGAATAGACATTACTTGTTTTTAAAATAACCAATGATTATATTTTTGTATATTTCACATTAAAAATGTGAAGTGTTTTAATGTAAGAAATGTCAAATAAGCTAATTTGTCTTGTTTATACATTTGCCTTCCTTTAGTAAAATAAATGAGAATTATGTTAGCTTAAAATCTGTGAGTAAGACCTGTGAGAAAACAAAAGTAAATGATGATTCATCAGCTTAGTAATAAGAAAGAGCCTAGAGAGAGATGTGTGTGAATGTTTTGATCCTTCTAACCTAAATTAGTTTAAACAACAGTTTTAAAAAGTTAATATTTTGGGCCCAAATTTTATCTATATTACATTTGCCCTTACCAAAATAGAATAACTTTCATTTATTCATATATTTAATGTAATCTGTTATCTCTTGTGTGTCCTCTCTTTCTTTTTCTGCTTTGTAAATACTATGTATCATATGTAGAATATATGCAAATAGTACATGCATTGCTATGGTGCCTACAAATCCTGCTTATGGACCAGAATCTCCTTGTTCTGGTCCATAAGTATCTGCTGCTCAGGAACTTCTCACTGCCCCTTCCAGACTTAACTCTAAGTAAAAGCATAGAGATAGAAGACTGATACAAGCGGCTATTTGGAGACTTCTTTGAAGCAATCCAACAATTTTGATTAGCTTGAAAGGCAGCACTATCCATGTATATTGCCACACTTCTGTGGTTTAAAACAAATGTTCAAAATGAGCAAGAGGTTGATGTTATCATGTACATGTTGTTTTCTAATACAATCTCATTATGCCTCTCTCAACCTACTGAATTCAGAATTTGAAGCATTTTAAAGATGCTGAAGGTGGAAATTGCATATATTAAAGATGACTTTTTTCATTTTCTTCAAAGAGAATCTACAAATGTCCAGAACTTACTTATCTCTACATCCATTTCTTGGGAGAAGTAAGCAAACAGCATAAAGAGGAAAGTGAGAATGAAAAGATTTAGAATAAAATTGTATACCTACAGTGATACTAAATCGTTCTTCATCAGAGGAACCATTTTGTTTCCATATGCATAAGGGTGGAAGGGAAATAGTGTAATATGTAGTGAGTGTAATATGTAAGTGTATGTAACTTCTTACCTATTTCCTAGCAGGGAAAGTATAGGAACTTAGCAGAAATGAACCAGTAGCAGCAGAAATGAAACTGAGAACAAAAAAAGAGTAATTTTGAGAGTAATGAGAGTAATTTTCAAGCAGAATAATCAGAGTGGAGGAAAAAAAATAGAAGGTGGCATTTTAGGGCCAACTAAATCTTGTTTTCTATAAATGGTCTCAGATGCAGTCTTCTCATGTGAGTGATGAGTGTGCCAATCAAACAGGTCAAACAATAAGTATGGCAAAAGGTCTACAGGTGGAATGGGAAAGGGAAGAGCCATGTATGAGATGACTTTTTATGCAACACCTTTGTTGTTTACCTGTTTACATTTAAATGAACTGATTGTGGACAGAGGACTTTCTCATTCCCCACTAATTTCTTTCGTACTTGAAAAGTCAGAAGATCTTGAAACATAGGCAGTGGAACCTGTTTTATTTGATTGGTAAGTCAGTTCTTCAGAAACCTACATTTTGTACAATACACCTTTGATTCTTTTGCACAGAATGCACTTGGAGAAACAAGAGCAAGGTCTGACCAGTGAGTTAAACAGCACTCGAAAGAACAATACTTGCTTTTTAATTCTCAGATCTCAGTCCTAATAAGGACTGCAAGGCTAAAGGACAGAATAGCACAGTGAAGAAATGGTTACCAACAGGAGTAGATAACAGATGTACTAGCAAATAGAGCTATTGTAAGGGGATAGGTCTTTGTTCAGGAAGCTGCTTGATGTTCCTATACCGTTTGTGAATAGGGCCAGGCAGGAAAGAACAGAGCTGAATTCTTCTGTCAAAGATTTCAGTGTGCACCAGAACTTGTAAACAATGATAAGTATTCAGCTTCATATTATGAAGTGTTTGTAGTCTACTCAGTTACGCGTAAGATTAAAAAAAAAACAAAAAACAAGGCACACAGAACTGATGTAATTGCAGTCAGAAAATAATCTGTAATATCATCAAGTTATATTCTTCTAATATTGAATTCTATGAGTTAATTAAATAGCAAGTTTCTGTCATGTAACTTCAGGATGTGCAGGATAAATAATTTGGAGAGAAAAGTGAACGGACGCAGAAGTTGCTTTTTGCCTAAATATAGTAATATAACTATATTTAATATAATAATAGATAGTAGTATATAAAAACTAGTTTTAAGTATGCATGAATAATGATTATAATATTATTTTATTTTATTCTGAACGTTTATTGGCTTTCATCGGGTTAGATTTTAAAAAATGATTGTTACATTGAAGCTGCAGGAGCACCGAGTCTCATGCAGTACTTCAAGACTACTTCAACTGATGTGGTTCCTGCTGAGCTTTTGTTGAGTAGTTGGCTGAACAAGTTGGTGACAGTCTATCTATTATACCAGTAGGTCTTGGCTGCAGTCCTAGTCTTACAGATGCAGTTGGCTGTTCTATCTCTTCTGCTAGTGTTTGAGTCACTTAAAGAAAAAGTGCTTTATATTGTATGAGGATTGTGTGGGTTCGGAGCAGAAATGAAATACTGAAATGATATTGTAAGTCTCCTTTACATTTAAGTTATCCTGACACCATTAGCTTCCATTAGAAAAGAATAAGTATAGCTAAATCTGGAACTAATTAAAAGATATTAAAATTCACCATAGTGCCATTTTAAAAAAACTAAAGTCTGGGCAATTTGCTTTGCCAGCTGAAAGTTGCATGCTTAAAAACAAGTGATCTGTGGATATTTGTATTTTTGATGTGTCCACCCTAAATGCTACAGACCGTTGTCCAGTTACCCGAGCTAACTTCACAGAAAGCAGAAAGCTACATATGGAGTTTCAGGAGTTCTGAGTACCTGAAACATGCCAACTGCTTCAGTATTTAACTCAACTAAGACTAAATTTATCCTGCTGACAACTGAGGTATGCTAGTCAACATAGTACAACTTAGTCTAGATTGCTTGTTAAACTTGGCTGCTACCAGTATGTATCCAGCCAGCACTGCCAACCTGGTGTGGGTATATAAGCTTTCTATCTGCCAGCAATACAGCTTTGGGTGATGGAAGTTTCTACTAAGCTTCTGCACTGGAACGAACTGCCCAGATAGTTTGTGGAGTCTCCTCCCCTGGAGATATTCAAGACCCACCTGGATGCCTTCCTGTGCAACCTGCTCTAGGGAACCTGCTTTAGCTGGAGGGTAGGACCAGGCAATCTCCAACCTTCCAACCCCATGATTCTGTGATTCTAACTGAATTCTCTACTGTTCTTCCTCTAAGATCTCTCTTTGCATTCAGACTGTAGAGGTATGAAGTCAGACATGCTCACACCTCAGCTGCCCCAGCTATTAAAGCAGAGAGATCAGGTCCTTGCTTCATCTTTTAACCAGAGTCAGTTTATGAGCTTGTTCCCATGTCTTAACCTTCGTTTTGTTTTACTTTGTTCGTCTTATATTTTTTTCTTGTGTTACCTTATATTTCTTTGCTTTCTTTTGAAAGCGTAAATGAACAAAAACTAAAACAGGAGTTAAATGTGTGTCAAGGAATGAGAGGAATGCCAGTAAGATAAGCAAATGCAATATACCGATAAGAAAAATGAACACGATTTTGCTTTTGTTGTTCTTAAAGTATACGTTCTTGAAGTTGGTTAAGAGTAAAGTTCTGTGGCATACATTTTCTTTCTTTCTTTCCTTTGAAAATATTTTGCCAATAAAATTTCCTTGTCAGATTACTGTAAATACTATTAAATCAGAAGGCTTGTATCCATCAAAGTAGTTAAAATTTTTTCAACTCAACTGCACTTTTTGCAGAATGATCAAGTGCCAGCCTCAGGAGTATACGTTTATTCCTCGAACATGGATTTTCCCTGCAGAATACACACAGTTTCAGAACTATGTAAAAGAATTGAAGAAGAAACGTAGACAGAAAACTTTTATAGTAAAGCCAGCTAATGGTGCAATGGGACATGGGTAAGTTGCATGTTCATTTCAGTCTTCTTATCCAGAAAAAATGAAATCTAGTGCTATTTAAATTGTTAATTGAAGCTGTTCATCAGTAAGAAGTTTGTTCATCAGTTGTATATCAGTATAAAAAGATCATCTATTGTAAAAACGCTTAACAGCAAGAAACAGCTAGAATATAAAAATAAATAGAAGTGGTATTTTCATGCTGTTCTGAATGTGGCTTAATTAGGAAATACATTTTCTGATAATGATCATGTAATTCTTAAGATCAAGGTTTTTTATTAATTGTGAAATTATCCAAGCAGTAGATATATTGTAATCTATTGTGCTTTAACTTAGAGTGCGATCGTACTGAGCACAAATGTCAGGGTTTCAGTAGTTGTGAGGGTGTTCGTGTGGAAGACAATCAGTATCTTCCATAGCTCTGAAAACATTCCAAGTACCCTACTGCATGCCAGAAGTGTGTCACAAAAGTATTTGAGAGCAGCATCCTCAAGGTGGAGGAGAAATGGAGGAGGCACAGTTTTGGAAGGATGTGAGATATGCCAGAAGAGGGACAACCCTGAAAAGACTGCGACCTACAGCTGAGTTGAAACTGTTCTGCCTGTGTCGGGACAGAGAAAAATGAGATGAGATTAAATATCTCAATTAATTCTTAACTCTGTTCTTATTTTTACCTATTTCTATTTCAGATTTTATTGCTTTAATATCATCTTGGATTATACTGCATAGTATAGTGTTTTTCCTAAGTTTTCATTTCTCTTGATAAGGACAAAGATGAAAAGTAACAGGTATTTCGTGGAAAATATGGGAAAGAAAAATGGTGGAAACTAGAGAGAGTGCATTCTGCCAAATGATTTGTAAGTCTAGAGGGAATAAATTATTATACTTTTTATTTTTTTAATCGAAGTGCAACACTTGCACTTAGACCTTGTTGAACCTTATTTGGTTTACGTGAGCTGACTTCTTAAGGTTTTTCAAGTTCTTTTGGCTTCTGCTGTTTACAAAAGAAAAAATAACAAACCAAAGCAACCCAAAATAACTCAGGTACCAGCTACAAGGCAGGGAACTAAAAGCCGTCTAAGCAAACGACGATTTTTCTATACCCTACAAAACAACTCTGTAAGGTCTTTCTGCACACAGTATTTAGTCTGATTACCCGACTGAATGACAATAATAATGTATTTCTTTTGTCTAAGTCCTACATTTTAAGAATAACTTTTTTTTTTTTTTTTTTAAACTAGGATCTCTTTAATAAGAAATGGAGAAAAGTTACAAGCTCAGGATCACTTGATTGTTCAGGAATATCTTGACAAACCATTTCTTATGGAAGGCTACAAGTTTGATTTGCGTGTATATATTCTTGTAACCTCCTGCGATCCATTAAAAGTATTTTTGTATCATGATGGACTGGTGAGAATGGGCACAGAAAAGTATCATCCTCCCAGTGACTCAAATTTGGTAAGTGGATGCTCATTCCATTTATTGCATATATATGTAGAATTTCATCTGTGTAATGTTTGGAGGAGAAATAATAAAATGGTGACAAAAATTTGCATTTAATATTCATGTGGCAGAATTTTTCAATTGTCACTGAAGAGAAATGAAGTATTTAACTGATTTCTATACTTGTGACATTCATAGAGAATATATTGCTTATGTATAAAAAACACTCTTCTTACTCGTCTATAGGATAGAGCTTAAATTTTTCCTGAAAGCAAGCAAAAGAAGTCAATTATTAACGTTCAGCCCAGAACAGATGAAGTAAAGAAAGTAATTCCAACAACAAGTTACACTGTTTTCATATTTCTCTGAGACTGAGTTCAGGGGATGCAGGGGGAGTTAGGCCTAATACCCTGTTAGATTGTTTTTAATGTCCCTGAAGTGTAGAGTTTCTCCTGAGGATCCTGCAAGGTTTCAGCCATTGTTTTAGGAACCTATTCAGGAAATAGAAAAAAAAAAAAACAACAAACAACCAGAGATGTGAAGACCATGGCATGAAAGAGGGCACTAAAATCTCTGAACATCAGGGAATTTGTTGACTTTTATAAGCGATTGCTTCTTCTGCAGGGAAAGAAGCATGGAATTATATCACCCATTTAATGTTTACCCAATATACTTGTTAATTTTAGGATGATGCAGCAAAGCTGCCTATAAGCTTGCAGAGAACCAAGAAAATGGTAAAGGACATGCTAAAAGATGCTTTAATCCTGTGCTGTTGAGAGGTGCAACCCTTCTCTTCTGGCACAGACTTAAGTACAGATGGCAATAAAGAAAAGACTTGGATTTGATGCATCCAGGCATCAGTGGATTTAAATTTCTTATACGTCACTCTGTACTCCACTGCTTCTTTATTTTTCCTTTTCCAGAGTGATGTATTTTTAGAACTGCTTCAGTGTAATTATACAATAGAAAATGTATGGTGAGCCATTAACTCTACTTGTCACTTAAAATAGTGTTCTTTTGAAGATTGCAGGTACAATCTGAATCCCAGGAGAAATTGTGCATTTGGAAAAGTTCCAGTACTATATTTGGAACAGCTTGCTTTTAGTGGTATTTATTGTTACTAATCTCAGTGTTATCAGCACTGAAATATGCTCTGAGTTGATAAACAAGCAGCAGAACAAGCACTTTTCTCTGTGATCTTGCAACTGTTCATGTCTGTCTTTGTATGAAATAACCTGGCTTGTCGCTAATGACATTGTTCCATAGTGACACTGTTCCAGATGAATTCAGACTAAAGATTAGTTTAGTGTTTAACTCACGTTCTAAAAACATTTTCAGGGTAGGTTTTTGTTTTTTTGTTTTAATCTGGAAAATAATTAGATTTTCTGAAATAATTTAATTATGTGGAAAGAATACTCAAAAGAATAATAGGCTTCAGAATCATTCTCAAACCCATAATTGGAAGCCATGTGAGAAATTCATTGCTTGTAGTGCTACTGTTAATTAGCCTGCAACTAAATTATGTGTTGTTTTGCTTTTTTTTTAATTTTATTCATTTTTCTTAAATGTACGTGTAGGGAGATAAATGACAGCAGAAGGTTTGTATTGTCTATTGTCTGTCTGATCAAAAAGGAATTGGAACAGAAAGCTTATGGCAAGCTTATAACATTAACTATCACTCAAACAAGGAATGAAATATAGCAGACAACAGTCTCTGTGGACTGTCATCATGATAGTGTATGTGGAAAGCTGAGTTAATACTTGTAATGGAAGAGATACAAATATATAAATAATGATTTATAAATTGAAATTTAAAGGCTTTGTTTCTTTTTAATGTAGCATGAATCAATTGCTGTTTATATTTTCTTACATAAAGAAACACTCATTTATGTAATGTATAGTTTGAAATTTATCTCCCTCTAATGTATGGCTACCAGCCACTCAAAAATGAGCAGTTCTGGCAGATAGCAACATGACAGATGAATTTATATGTAGGAGATATTTTAAAGTATTGCTATAATGAGAATGTCTTTCATAAATAAACTACAGTGAAAACTGAAATGTGGGATTGTCTATGAAACAGATGTCAGAGTGTTTTTTAGCACTTCAAAGTACCATCTTTGTTGTTTGCTTCTCGTGCAATGTAATTTTTCTGTAAGTTAATGACAGTAGCTTTCCACATTTCTATGGAGTTTTTTACATACACACCTGTAAAAATGGCAGGTATATTATCTAACCAGATGTTGATTAGATGTTGATCTACTGCTATTGCAACTGGCTTAAATATGAGCCCAGGTTATATAACAAGGCTACAACATTCAGTATGCGAAATCTCCAAGAACCAGAAACACTAAACCTGCACATTATGTATTTGCAAATATGAACTGTGTCATTACTGATTTAACCTTTTAATTTTTTATAATTGGTCATTCTAGAATAACATTTAAATTTCCTTTTTTCTTTTCTCCGTATTTTTAGAGCCAACTGTACATGCATCTGACCAACTACTCTGTGAATAAACATAATGAACACTTTGAACGGGATGAAACAGAAGATAAAGGAAGTAAACGCTCTATCAAATGGTTTACTGAGTTTCTTGAAACAAATAATCTTGATGTCTCCAAATTCTGGAATGATATTTCAGTAAGATGGAACTAATGTACTTTTCTATGTTTTTCCTTAAGGATCACTCTTAGAAAATTTATTGCTTCTGCCATCGCTTTACTCAGAATCCATCATGACTTTTGAAACATTATTAACTATAACTCTAGACAGATACACAAATGACATGCCATAAATGAAGATTAAAATGGCTAAGCTCAAGAATTTGGTTATAAAGTTAATGCTGAACTTCTTCAGTCCTTCCAAACAGTTATTCATGTAAATAGTATCATGCGCACAGACAGTTGTATTTCAATTCTCAAATGTGCTTTTGTAGCATATTAATCAAATTTTATGTGAGAATATTTACAAAACTGTATTCAGCATTGCATATATCAGCAGATTGGAACCTGCACCATCCAGATCAGTGGATGTGTTACAGACATCTTTAGGTGAGGAATACGACTGGGATTGTTACAGCTTAGGCACTGTCTGTAAATATGATTCTGAGAATATTTACTGGAAGCTATGTCATGAAATGAAATAAGGTTGGCTATGCTAAGCCTTAACCTCAATGTAACTTTAGCATTTAGACTACTGTCTATCTTAAAAAGAACTACGGAAAAAGTACTATGGAAAATATATAATGTTTTTTATAGCTATCAAAAGCATCTGTTATTCAGTATGAACATTTAGCTGGTATTAAAAATCTTCTACATTCTACTAAAGTATCTATAAAAGAATGAAATATGTAAGTTTGCTATATCATGGTGTCATCTCTCCTGATAAATTTTTCTGAAAAAAAATCCTTACAGGAGTTAGTAGTGAAGACTCTCATAGTTGCAGAGCCACACGTTCTTCATGCTTATCGCATGTGCAGGCCAGGGCAAGCACCAGGCAGTGACAGCGTCTGCTTTGAAGTCCTGGGATTTGATATTCTGCTGGACAGAAAACTAAAACCATGGCTTCTAGAGGTAAATTCCTTTAAACAAATGTAAAATAAATTTTTAAGAGTAAACTTAACCAAGCCCCAGCTGAACTCATGTCTATGTAAGAAAACTTCCAAAGAAAATCTGTGCTTAGCAGAATGTACTGTTGTTGAGTAAATAGATCATGCTTTTTTTTTTTCTGCAACAGTTGTATGGGAGCACTGTTTTGCATTGATTTTGGAGACTCACATTTTTTTCCTGGAGAAATGTTGCATTTTAAATGTTTCTGGAACTTTTAATGAGAAATGGGCTGTTAATCCAATTGTTCCAGTTGCACTGTAGCTGAAGTTTATAGAAATTGAGTACTGCATAGATTTCCTTTGTGAGGATGGTCCAGGTAATTTTATGACTGATCCAAAAGCTGTCAACAGTTGTGCTTATTTCTCTTAGAGTTGCAGTATAATTTTAGTTAGAAAAATATAAATTAGTTCACTATCTACCATACAGATACAGGCATACTCAATGGCTTTGATGTGCTGGCTAAAATCAATGAACTTCATCTGTACTACATATACTTTTCTTTTTGTCCAGCAATCCCTTTGATTCACCTCTGCACTTTCCAGATTACCATCTATAGAATGCCTGTAGTTTGCACACAGGTTCTTTGAATGACTGAAGTTGCTCTGTGTAGGCATTTCACCTAACTTCATAGCAAATCTCTCTTCTAAGAGAGATGATGAATCAAACTCTTTGGTGAATCCATTGTGAAGGACGCTCTTCTATCTCCTTGGATGTTTACATGAAATATCAAAATTTGGGGGTTTCTGATTTACTACTTATGCTGTAGGGCAGTCTCAGAGGAGAACCCCTGGATTCCTTTGTGAGGGAGGAACCTGGCAAAATAATAAATAATGCTTTTGGATTTTTGATTGCTGCAGAATACTTCAGGACTTGAAAAGTTGTGTTCTTGGTTGTTATTATCTTTTTAATATAGAAGGTTAATGATCTCCTCTTCTGTTTTTGATAATCCAGATGTCCTTTAACTTATTTTGCTAGATGTTGATCTAAGGTAAGAGAAATTTCAAACTGCAGAATGTAGTCAGTTTCTGCACTCATACACAGATTTTCATGGTCTCTGCTTGTCTTTTTTGTAGCACTCTCAGAGCAAACACACAGGGTGTGTATATGTGTGTGTATAAGTACACACATGTAACATATTTGCCATATATATATATACACCATGTGTGGTATAATACTGAGCAAGCATACATTGCATATATATGTACTAGATATAATAATGTATACCCAGTGTGTACGCATGTGATGTAAAATAATGCACAAGACACACAATGCGCAAAAATATAGGTATTTATATAGAGTATTTTTTTCTCAGGCTTCTCCAGCCTTCCACTCTTCTCTCGTTCCACCATTTCCCCGTTTCCGAAGCTCCCCAGGGCTGTGCTCTCCCTAGCAGTGGGAACAAGCACTAATGGCAAGGCTCTGCATGTTCCCAGCGCTGTGGGAAAACTGCCAAGACCAGATCAGGATGGCCAATCTAGTTCTTGCTTTCCACAGCTCGCAGAGCCGTTCTGTTGTAAAGTTAGCTTAATAAACTATCATAGGAAATAAACTGTGCGGCGCTGCAATGACAGCTTTCCTGAGATGACTTCTCTTTATATTCGCCGTTATCTCCGTACCGCTCCCGCCCCGGGATGCTGCCGAACTTCCGGAACCTTCCACAGCGCTGAGCGCAGGGAAACGCACCGCTGCCATCTGGTGGCGCCGGGCGGCCGGCATCCCTCGGGCCAGCTGTTCCACGTCATTTCCAGTTTTACCATAACTTTGTGTTTTACATTTCACAGATTCTGTTCTGTACTCCTTTTTTTTTTTTTTTTTTTTTTTTTTATCTCTGAACCTAGTTTTATCTAGTTCACAAGGTTTCACTGTGAACATTACTTGGCTCGTTGCATTTAACTGATGCTTGAATTGTTTTTCAGAAAGTTGCTGCATAAGTATAATCTTTTGCTTGAGATCAAGCTCTTCATCTCAGTCAGCAGCATAGTTTGTAACCAGTAACAGCATCTCATCTGATGCAGCAGGGTTTTTATGGGCTACAGATTTCTTTTTTTTCTTTAAAAATGCTATTCTGAGAGTCTTAATGGAGAATTTCATCCTTTCCAAAACATGCTGTCCTACAGGTTGAGTGGAGATAAAATATCTGTTACTCAAAAGATGTTGTATTTTTTTCCATTGATTTCAGGTTTATTGAACTCATTATGTAATCTCGTTATTGAGCAGCGGAATATTTCTATTCCTACTGTATATTACTAGAGATGGGAATGCGCTTGATTGCTTCCATAAGGAGGTGAAATGCCAGACTAAAGTTTTTCCCAGGTATTGATGAAGATGGCGGGGCAGTTAGTGTCTTAGGCATTTACAAAGCTTCATTTTTTAAAAATCAGTATGTTTTGCAAATGTAGCTGGAGGTGGGAGCCTTACATGCTTCAGCTTACACTGCTTAATTTAACTATTACAGGTTTGAAGTCCTTTGCTGACAAGTGTTTAGTTATGAAATATGCTGAGCTCCACAACTGCTATGCTCACAAGTAGTTTGATTCAGTGTCTGCGCTGTATTTCAGTGAAAGCAAAAATTGAAGATTTTGGTTGGGGAAATTAAAAACTTGTGGAGAGTTTAATTCTACTACTAATACTACTGAAAGATGGTTAAAACTGTGACATTATGAAAATGTGTGAGAAACGTTGTGTTCAATAGTCTATACCAAAAATACTATAGTTATAACGCAAGTGTGCTTTTTTCTCTTTTTTTTCTTTGTTCCCTTGTGTATTCTTTATATGCATCAGACTTTTGAAGTTTTGATGATAGTTTATCCAATAAATATAGCATAAACCTAACACATGACACTGAATAGGAATATCTTGTTTCTGAACGTGCTTCAGTAGAAAAATATAGCCTTAGAGACTTATTTCTTCTGACATTTAACCTGTATTGAAGTTGAATAAAGTATTCAGATTCTAGTCACTAGGTATGCATGCTTCTGTGTCCCTCTGGCAGAGCCCAGCAAAAATCATTTGATCTTAGAAATGTCTCATCTTCCATCTACACTGGGTGATAAGCAGGCTTTATACTTAAGGTCAGCTGTCAAGATTGCCTTCTGAAGTTTCCTGATGTGAGAAAGGAGAGATAGTGAACAGGTGGAGAAATTTAAAAGAAAGGTTTGTTAATGCAGCATCCTTGCATGTAGTTGTACTAAATCAAAAGGCAGTTCAAACATCTATACATGCAGTGAGCACAGAATAGCCAGTTGACTTTAAATTCACAGCTGCTTTCTCTGTATTAACTTTCTAATGTACTCAGTTGCTTGGATTTTGTGTTGGATCTACTGCTACATGAAACGCTGCACTAAGACGAGTTTGCAGCAGCCATCCAGAACTGGATCACTGTTTTCACTGTCCATCCAGTTGCTCCTCAGGACTGAGGTTACGTTAGGGTCAGGATTTCAATCTTTAGTCATGAATTGTGTATCAAAAAAACAAACACCAACAATCCTCTGCAAGTCACAGAGTAGAGCTCCAGTTCTAACTATGAGTACAGTAGCATTTCAGCTTCTTAAGTGTCTGCCTTAAGTGGGGTGATAGTGTAATGTTTCCCAGTAGCATTTGGTTTCAGAACAGCATTTTAAATTCCTTCTTACATCTTTCCTACCCCTACCTTAGTTTTCTGCTTATTAAGCACAGTCAATGTGGTTTTGTTCAGAATAGATTATTTTTGGCAACATTCACTCTGTAGGAGAGAGACTATAAATTATTTTATACTTTTCAGAGTGTAATTCAGAGTATACTTCTAAGAGTACATTTTTAGCACCTACAGACCTACCTAGTTCAGGTCTGTGTATGTGTGCATCTGGCAGTCCTGTGAGTTCGATATTGGTCTCACGTAGCATTTTTCATGTTTCAAATAATTTCTTGTATTTAACTGCATTCTAACTGAATTTAAGGTTTCAGTGTGCTGATTTTAGTAAAATACTAGAAATTAACTGATTGGAAGTTTTAATGTTATATTTGTCTGCTTACTTGTTTTTGATGCATGAAAAAAGCATTTCAAAGCCAAATATTGTTAGTTGCTGTATGTTACTATGGAGTCAAAAATTCAGTACAGAATATCATATTGTACAATATCTAACATTTCTTCTGAATAAGAAGCTGGGGCTTGATTTTTACATTTCTGATTCATTTCAGTAAGCTATTTGTGTATTTAGGTATTTGTTGGACTGAACCATAGTACCCCATGTTGTGTTTCACTTCTCATTTGCATGTGATACAAGACATTAGTTTTCACTTCTGAATCTGTTAGTCTGTTCCTTCCCTCACCAGCACTGCTCATTCACAATCAGCTCGATTCCACCCTCTTATTAGCACCTATTGCTCATGTATAGCCCTTTATACAAGCCTGAAAGATGTTCCTTGAGACATTTATGCATTTACTCTTTCTCCCCCAAAGCTTTCCTGAAAGCTTTTCTGCAGGGGCTCTAGAGCTTAGGTTAGCATCTAACTAGATTAGATGATGCCTGGTGAAGTCTCCTCGTTTCATTTCCTTTCTTCTTCTATGTTTATATTAACATTTATGATGTCTTGCTCTGCACTTAGATTTTAAGTAACTCATTCTGTTATTTATTTATGTTTTCATACCAGATGCTGATTTCTGTTTTTACAACTTGTTACTTTTCAGAGTAGAACTGTATTCCAGACTAGGAACAAGGAAAAAGTTTCCTGTGCTGGACTTCTGTAGCACAGCACATAGTTATAATGTGCTTAACAGCACTTGCTGTGGTAGATTTCAAGCCACAGCAACCAAGAATGCATTAAACTGGATTTAAATTGCCAGTACTTGAATCAGGTTCATTCTGAGTGTCTGGATAAGTTGATGTCTGAGAAGTACATCTCCTGGCTCCTGACTTCTGTGATGATGCTTGATTCTCTAATTATTTAAGAAATACTATCTGAGATGAGCATTTCAACATGTGTTCTCTTGTTCTCTGTGATATCTGAAAGAATGTCTTTTCCTGTTACAACAGATAAGTTCCTAATGAAGTTGAGCATTCCTTTTTTTTTTTTTTTCTTTTCCTTATTTTTTCTTTTTCCAGATTAACCGAGCCCCAAGCTTTGGAACTGACCAAAAAATAGACTATGATGTAAAAAAGGGTGTTCTGCTAAATGCATTAAAGCTTCTCAACATAAGGTAATCTTGTCTTCTTCAGTTTGGCTCTCTTTTTTTTTTTTTTTTTGTTTGCATGTTCGCTTGTTTGTTTTTAATTGGACTAGTAGAGTGTGACATTTCTTTCCCTGTTTAAATTCTGAAACTTAAACAGTTCTCTTGCTGTGAGTTTTGCTATTAAAAGCTCAAATTTAATTTTTAAACCTGTTCAAGTGCTTGCCAGAAATGAAGTGGTAATAGTCATTTTCATGCCTTTTAGATGCTTTTTCAAACAGATCTCATACTGGGAATATTAGTGTAGTCATAGCAAGTTTGCTCTGACAATAGTTTCATGCAGAGTCATAAGTCATACCCCTCTATAAGAAAGCCTGCTTGTTGGAATTTGTTGAAGAAAATCTAAACTTCAGGAAAATAGCTGCTACCATATTTCTGCATTAAATTTCAACAGTGTCATTATAGCACACCTTAATGTGTGAAGATTGGCAGCCATAAAAGTTAATATTAAAAAAAAATTCTTAGTGTTTGACTACTCATTTGTGTATCACTAACCATACAAGAACAACTGAAAGCTGCAGATTATTTACTTGAAATGAAAGTGCATTTCAACTCAGCTGCATTATGTCAATAACCAATGCTTGATAAGGCAGTAAATCTTGATGCTCTGATTTGAGTTCTGAAAAATAATGCCTGAACTCTTCTTACTGCTACTTAGCTATCAAAACCTGCATGGGGGCTTATTTAAGTGAATGTGCTAGATATATTCTGCAATGTATTTTGCTATAGATGGTCTTTAATGTTATCTGTAGAGAGAATAAACGTTTTTCTAGTTCTTATTGAAGTATTATTTGTAGATTGATGTACCTTAATGTTCCTTGTGATTCAGAACAAGTGATAAAAGGAGAAATTTAGCCCAACAGAAAGCTGAAGCTCAAAAGAGACTGTATGGTCAAGGCTCAATGAAAAAACTGTTGCCAGGTTCTTCAGACTGGGAAAAGCAACGCCACTCACTGGAACGGAGAAAAGAAGAACTGGTAGGAAAGAAAAATGCTGTTTCTTGCCCATGATTTACATTATCTTTGTTTTAATTGTCTTACTTTCTTGATTTATAGAAGGAAAGACTTGCACAAGTACGCAAACAGATTTCCAAAGAAGAGCATGAAAATAGGCACATGGGGAACTACAGGTAATCATGTGAGCTATATCAATCAGAAGATTTAATGCATTCATTGTTGGGAATAAAGGGAATAAACATTTGTGGCAGATGATAATTTTATGACAAAGATAAGTATGCATTGATAGAAAACACAGATTAGACCAGGTGATTTTTTATTTTTTTTTTTTTGAGGTCTTTCTCTGGTTCTGTATTTTTGCATGCATTTACTTTATATTGCATCAATCACTCCAGTGTTTGTGCAAAACATTTGCTCCAAAGATGTGATTGTTCAGTGTACCGAGTGTACCAAGAAGCGTGATTTTCATTTTGGACTTCTTCTGTAATCACAAATGGCAATTCTTTTCTCTGGGGTGGGATAGGATCAGGATGTTAATATGCCTGCATTACTCTACAGAGAATGAAATATCAAATCCGAACGTTCTCTATGATGCTTCAGAAGCCTTGTTTGTGCTTCTATCACATTAATATTTCTCTTGGTTGTAATTGGATTTGGCCAGAAAATAAGCATTTATTTTACAATGTTTTTATTATTTCTTGACATTAGCTTCAATGAGAAGTGAATGCAAGGGAATGAATATTTGGTGAAAAGGAGCAGAGCACCACTGAGAAGAGATGATGGGAACATTCACCCAATCTTTGTAACATTCATCTGGGATGTAAGAGGTCTGGGTTCATATCTTTCATTCTGAATTAGTCAGAATGCATTTACTGCTGTTCTTCATCTCTGCTTTTTGAGCAGATGCTCTATGCCAACCCAGTAAAGTTCTTATTTAAACACACACATTTCTGTGTTTTTTTCTTTTTGGCAAATTGTCTTTGCTTACAAAAAAAATTACATCTTTGTAATGTTCCCAGCTTTAATTATGTCTTTTCTTGACACATGTAAAGGTGAGCTAGTACATAAAAAGACCAACACAATGTCTTTTCTTATTAATTGAATGAGAAGGAGAAACATCATAATGCTTTTAATGCATTTTGCTTTATTGATAACTGTAACTTTTTAACTGGTCCCATTTCAGGTTGCTCATCCAGCTCTGGACTGAAAATGAGGCAAATCTTCTCTTTATTAAGCTTTTTGGTTAATCTAAAACAATAAAAATGCAAAATTTTTATTTTTTCTTAAGAAAAAGTAAAGTGGCATTTCGGGACAAATGTGCATATGTAAAAGGGCTGAACAGCAGTGTGTTTTCATAATATCATGTGTTCACAAAAAGGCTCGAGAGTCAGCAGAGCCTGAGAAGTAATCTTGGCTAGAGATTCAGACAGGTGTTATCTAAGCAGTATTTTTTCTTTGCGATGTCCTTCTGCAGAGCAGGACTAGTTCCTCTCAGGCATTGCCATAGAATCATAGAAATTTTGCATGCTAGCTTTGCTGTGTGAATTCATATTGTTTCCAGAATGAAAATCTACAGAAATTTTTATGTCCAGACAACTTTTGAATCCTAATCCTATGAACAGTGTATTTTTTCCCATTAACCTCAGATTTTGGTAAAGACACCATGCTTGTGAATGTCAGTTCAGGAAGCAGCTTAGTCAAGTGTCCACCTGCAAATACAACTAGCCTGTCACTTTCATTAGGATCTTGCGGTGTTTCAAAGCAGGAGCTGTGCTTTCAAGGACTTGTGGAAAGAATGTGTATGTCTTTGAAATGGTCTTTGACTACAGTGTATTTCCATATATGTTAGGGTAAATACCTTTTTTACTTTAAAGAATGAGGGCTGCTCTGAAAGTAATGCCTCCCATTTTATGTTGACCCATGAAATCAGAGGTGGATGTTGGTGGGATGGCAGTAGAGGCTGAACCTTCCTACCAGTATCCCATTACAGTTTGTTGCCGTATGACAGATGGCAGCAGAGAAGAAGTCTGACAAATTGGTGTCTGACATAAAAGGGCAAATGAAGCAAAGGGGTACCACTGAATTCCTCCATGTGGAAAAAGTGGCACCCACTGGCATCCTTTAGTGCCTGCTGAACATTTATGGGGACCAAACAGAGGATTTGAGCACTGAGGTGGTGGGTGATGTGTTTCAGCGGTGGTGATAGTGACAGTAATTCACCTCTGCTGGTGCAGATTGTTACCAACGTGGAATGCAGACTGTTGCTTATTGCTGGTGAAAATGCATAGCTAATGTTGATGATTGTGTTGAAAATTAGTGTTCTGTAGCTAAGGTTTTTCTCTTTCAAATAGTGGTGTTGTGGTCTTTGTATCTGGTGTAGTTTCCATGGAAATACATAGGAGGCATTACTTTCAGAGAGACATACATAATTGTTCTATGCTACATTTTCAGCAGTGGAACCAACACCATAAAAAATGATGACTACACCTGGGTTAGAGTTTGTATAGGTATTTTATGGAAACTGAACCACCTTCCAGTTGAGTCTAATGAGACTGTTTTTTGCCATTGCTATGAAATCGTAACATAAAATCTTTCCAATGAGAAGTTTGTAAAGCAAAAGGAGAGAAAGCGCTGCAAGAATTCCACAAAAAATAATCCAAAACATACCAGACATGTATTGCCAATTAATTTATAAATAGTGCTTATGCTTTGCGCAGTGCAGGCAGAATTAATTTGAGTTATTCATTACAGTATGTTGTAAGTTAGTATCCCATCTCCATCATTCAAGTGCAGCACATATTCAATCTTTATGTTATGTCCATTAATTCAAAGAATTGCTCAGATTTTCACTGTTTTTTATACTTTGTTGCTAATACAAATTATTTCGTTGCACTGAATTTTACATGCAATACTTTATTAATACTTCATTTACACTTGGATGTATTCAGACCGATTGAAATTTCAGAGAGTATTGCAAAGCTGTGTTCCTACATATCTCTGGAATGGCTTGCATGGGGTTTTTTTGGCTGGCTAATTATGTTTAAACATGTAAGTGTTCACTAAGCTAAAATTAGATTTGGATAGCATTGCTAGGAGCATATGTCTCATGATATGGCATTGCATAATAATTACAGATGGGATACATATGCATTACCATGAACTAGCTGCATGACTTTTGTTCCTAGTCTGATAAGTAGCTCAGAAGATACTATGCTTATCAGTAGAAGATACTATTTAATTTTTTTCCCCCTATTTCAGGCGAATTTACCCTCCTGATGATAAATCATTACTTGAAAAGTATGAGAGTTTGTTAGCCACTGCTTTCCAGACATTTCTTGCTGGGAGAGCTGCTTCACTTCAGCGGGAAATGAATAACCCTTTAAAAAGAATGAAGGTACTGATGCATAGAAGTCTTGTCTTGAAGTCATTTTTCTTGGAATTCACATCCTTGCAGATTACTTTCATGATAATGATATGTGATGGGTAGTAAATAACATTGGATAACATTTTCATCATACTTTGTATTGCTTGTGGGCTAGAACCTTGAATTTGGATGAAAGTGGGCCCAGAGTGGAGACAGGCTCACTGACTTCCATTTCCCCAGTCCTCGGCCTTATACTTGGCAGAAACTGCTTATGAGCTGGTCATTACCTCCTTCTTCCTCCAGTAATGTCTCCAACCCATTGTGCACTTCTACAGACTAGAATAACTGATATCATAAAACCAGCTCCACTATTTCAAGGCATCCCCAAACTCGGCTTCATTGTTTACTTACACAGTCAGAGATAAAGATTAGGAGAATCTTATTCTGGAGGCATTCATTGTCTTATTTCAGGAATAGGTTATCAAAGTAACTTCAAAGTCCGATCAGTTGGCACTTGAACTTTGGAAGAATAGGACATGCCATGTTTTGGATTAATCATAGTGAAATTCCTATTTCTAGGAGGAGGACATTTTGGATCTTCTGGAGCAGTGTGAAATAGATGATGAAAAACTAATGGGAAAATGCACCAGACAGCGAGGACCTAAGGTATTTGAGTTTTAGATAGCATTTTTCTATTCCTCTCTCTAGAAAAGTGGTCTGAGGATTTTAATTGGGAAATTTAGTTAGCTGATCCTGGTGAATGCTTTCTTCCTCATACTCCCATTAGCCTGTGTGTTTTGCTTAAAAAATGAAATGAAAAATGAAAAATTTTAACTCTATGGTATTCTTTTTCTCTCTAAGCTGTTTTGAGGAATTGCTGGGTATGGCAACAACTGTTCTACAAGAGACTACTTGATTTCAGTGTGTGAAATGATCTTTTATATCCACAAATTATCTCAAAAGAATGCTTTGATCTTTAGTTAATTAGTGCCACTGCGGATTTTTGAGATCATGGGATAAGAGGCACTATGGAAGCTCAAAGGATTATTTATGATCATGATGTATCTGCAGCTTGCTTACTTGCTAAAAACATCATACTATGTATCTTGGAGCCAAAATCTGAATTTAAAGTGAATCTATGTTATTTTTAGCTTAACGCTTTCTGGTTGTGCACACAGTTCAATTGAACCTTTGCCTTGAACACACTCTGTATCTCTGCAAACTGGTAAATATTCTTAAAAGTCTTGCTTTCCCTAAATCTTTAGTGCTCAGGAAATCACACTTTGCCTTGGTCACACTCCCTTCTTTGAAGAAACAGTAGGGAATCTAAACAGCTGGAATAATAAGGAGGGAGAAAAACATTTTTCCATCATTTTCCTCCATGTCCATACATAAAACTGAGGGATACAAGGTGTGCAGTTGTATAAATAATCTTTGCATGTAAGAACAAAACATATTTGCTAAAAATTTCAGCCTCTCTCTCTTTCTTTTTTCTTTTTTTTTTTTTTTTTTAATTTGAATACAGTTAGGAGCTCATGTTAGAAAACAAGCTGAGAGTCTTCCAGAGCAAAGACAATTTTGTCTGCAATTAAAAACGTTATTGAATTTTACATGGCTTGAGAAATATTTTCTGAAAATGTCTTTTTAGTTTCTGGCCTCTAGAGGGCACCTTAGACTTGCATACTGGAAGGTTTACACTGCTGTGTTTATTACACCGCACCTACTGCATACAAAAAAGATCGAAGGAAATAAAATAAATGCATATACTTTAGAGGAAATTTTGTTATAATTCTTCTGCTATAGAATCAAATGAGTTCAATCAAGCAAAATGAGGGAAAATCAAGCTGATTAGAATTGCTAAGCAATGTACTATAAATAAAATTGCAACTTTAAACCCAGATCTGGATTTTATTTGTTATGATTTCTTTTTGTAATTTCTTTGACCTTTCTTCTTATTCTTCTTTAATTGATCTGAAGTCTTGTTCAGGCTATTCTTATTATTTTTAAGTATAGAAAGTGTTAGGAATATGCATATGGTAACTGGAAATAAGATCTCCTTTAAAATCCATGATTTTTGATTGGAAATGTTTATTATTATTTCTTGTATAACATCAAGAATGTTTAATAAGTATCTTTCCATGATACATATTATTTCATAATTAGGATAGCTATTTCTGAGAAATCACTAAGTGTTGAGACACCTTAATTTGTCCTTTTGGCTGGTAGGTAGACATCATAATATTCCTTGTTGTGTAGTCTGAACAATTGTCAGGGCTTTCCCCTGTGGGATGTACCACTTTATTCTGAATATTTCTTTAACTTTTCCTTTTCTGGCCAGACAGCTCGAGTCTGCATAAACAAACTATCACTTCCTAGTCTGGAGTAGAAGTTTAGGTAGCTTGTGTTTAGCTATTAAATATTGTCCTTCATAGTTTATATTTGTGCATTACATTATATTAAAACTTAAATGAATCCTGGGAACTTTTCTATTTCATGCTGATCCAAAGCGTGTTTGGAAATTGCAATATTTTTTAATGTGAGACAAAATTGCTGTCCGTTAGACAACTAGGAAGATCACTTACTATAGATGGGAGTTAATGGACAGAAAGCATGTAGGGGGGAAAAGAGGGACCACATGAGACTTCTTAGGTTGATAGATATAATGGAGGACATTGCACTTCTGTTGACTGCACCACGACTGCTGTAAGAAGGAAAATTTTCTGCTGTTACCTCCATTCTTGCAACACTGTCTCCTACTTTTTGCTCTTTATCTCACATTAGCCTTGGTAATAGCATGTGATTAATTACTTAATGACACTGAATCCCATGTACATAATGGGATTCCAAAGATGCCTAACATAGCCTGCTGTATCCTTCCAGATCCTGCTTTCTATAGGATGCTCCTTCAGAAGCATAGCAGCTGAAGTTCCCTTGTGTGCCTCATTACTTCAGAGTGATCACTGTTAAAACATTTCTTCACTTTCTGCAAATGCTAGTTAAGGATTGCAACTGATTGTAAATAATATTCTGTGTCATTTGACTGGTGATTTTAAACTTTAATCCAATATGTTGGGTAGTATAAATTGTACTTGAAATAAAATAAAATGACTTTTTCACCTTACTGTATTATGCTGCTATTTGTGTGAGAATGTTTGGGATTATTGTCATTAGTTTAATGAGCTACTTAAACTTTTATTTTAAAATTATGGAAAATCTTCCAGTCAAATTTGGGAGAGTTTAAGTATGTACAAATGAACCTCCATAACTCACAAATCTAGTAAAATGTTCTTCTGTTCTTTTCGGATTATGAAGAAAATTAATTTTTTTGCTCTTTTTTTTTTTTTTTTTTTTTGGTGTGTGTGTGTGTGTGTGTGTTGTGTTGTTTTGTTTTGCTTCAGCCCTTGTGTTCTATGCCAGAAATTGCACAACCCTTAAGAAAATTTAAGAACTACAGTAGTGATAGCAGCTGTGATAGTGGCAGCAGTATGTCAGGGTCAGGAGATGAAACTGAAAAGGAAGACCACAATGAGAAAAAAGAGAAAAAAGTATCATATGATCTTGAAGAAAATAAATATAAACCTTCAGAACGATCAGGTAAGTGAAATTATCATGCTTCTAGCTAAGTCTGCCATACATGAGAAATTATATAAAATACTTCACTTATTTCAGAATATATTAGCATTCGTAACTCAGGGTTAAATATGTTGGTTTTTTTCAGTTCATCTTTAAAATCTTTTCTAAATTAATGAAAATTTTTTATTTTAAAAAGGATTTTTTTACGAGATTGCTATAGGGAAAGATACACCTGAGTTACACTTGGAAGTGTTGTAAATGCTTCTCTTTGCTCTTTTATTACTTTGAGAAAAGTTTCATCGTGTTATTACACAAGTATTTCTAAAATTTTATTTTTAATGTTAGCATTTTTTATTTAGACTGAATTAAAAAGCTTTACAATTATGTAAGAGCAGATGGGGGAAGATGGGCTTACAGATATATGCTCCACCAACCAAACTCTTTCTTCCATATTATTCCATTCAGGAAGCCTAATGTAGCAGCCCCACACAATTTTTAGCCTATAGAGAAATATGTGCTCTGTATTAAATCTGATGCATGTTATAGAGGACTGAGTCTACCTGATTAAAGGTGACTAGGAAGAAGAAATAAATGTACTAATAGAATATATAATAAAAAATATACTGGGGGATCTGACATGAATGACTACTATGTATAAGGTATGTGACACTTTAATGGATGTACACACCTGTTAGTTGTATGTTAGTTACTGATGGAAAAATGGGTCTTAAATGATGCAACTACTTGTTAAACTTTTAATTTGTCTGCAGGTAGAATGAACTGGAAACCTTCGATTAAAAATACAAAATCTCCATCACATTCATCCTCATCATCATCTACAGGTCCAATAAGGCGTTCAGTAAGCTGCCCTCGTTCAATATCAATATTGTCTATGCAGTCACATGCAGCTGAGCATCGTCCTGTCTCTGCCAAAGCACCTCTGCAAATCCAGCGTGCATCCTCAGTGAATAGGTCTCGTTCTTTAAATTGCAGCCCATCTTCATCCAGAGTCTGTCAGACATCCAGCTTGGGAACTATGAACTCTTCGGGGGTGAGATAACATTCAAAAATGTTTAATTTCTCTGAAGTTCAATGAATACATTACTAATTTTTACAATCGTGATGCATTGTCATCAATTAAATTCTATTTTGAGAGATACTCAGGAATATAAGATATCTAGAAAGACAGGTCTAGACTCATATTTCCTTTTGAAGCTTGTCCCTGAGTTAGGCAAACAAAACATTTACTCTGGTGGTCCAACTAAATCATGAATAGAAAAAGAAAAAAAAATAGATCAAAGAATTTTAACTGTTTAGAATTTGTGTAGCTGTAAGATAACAGTGTATTTCTGAAACATACTTTTTTATTTTTTATTTTTTTAATTTTTGTGTTTCAATTCATACTTTATTACATGACCTGTACATTTCATCACCCAAATAACTTATCTGGAGATGGGGCAGTACAAATCGGCATTTGTTACCCACACTTGCAGCCTTTCTTTCCTGTGGTGTGCTTTGATTGTCAGAAATCCTTTTGTAATGCTAATTAAGTTGCTTCACAGTATTTACTATCTCTGGTAAAGATGCATCCAACAGAATGCACTTTTTCTGTTTTGCCTGTGAGGCTTTGTCTAAGTGATGAAAAAAGATCCTTTTAAAATTGTGTGCTGACACCTTGTGAAATACTCCTTAGTGTGGTTTTCTATCTTTTAAAGTCAGCTAATAGAATTGGGAAGACATTAAGATTGTGTCTTCACCACAACGTGTTAAAGGTGTTGTTTTATCACATTAGCTATCTCAAGTTTAAAATGTACCCTTTTATCATCAAGATGTATTCTAAGAGCTAAATGAGACAGGGCTGATATAGATTTTTTTTACTCACATTAACTCTATATCAAATACAAATTACTGAAAGATTAAAACCAGTCTCTTGCTGAATGATGTAAAAAATGGTCTAATCTCTTAACATGGGCAAGAAACTATACTTATTTTTCATTGAGAAAGCTCTAGCACGGAAATGATCTTGGTATGCAGATCAATTATGTGGGGTAATAGAGCTTAAGTCGTGTTTCTTAAAATAATGTGCATAAAATAACTTAGAAAATGGATAAGAACTACAGGTAATTTAGCACTATATTGTGAATGCAACTCTGATCATAATTATTTTTGCAACTAAGAACGATATACTATATATTACTGCTAAAAAAAATGAAATTGATAAACTAGAATTTGCTCAGAAGAAATAATTTGTCCATGTTAAATTAGTTTATTGATCCTTCAGGCAGGAAAAAAAAAGTATTTTTTTTTTTTTTTTTTAAGTATTTTGTCATTTTTGGAGGCTTGTAAGATTCAAACGTACTGAAACGTATGAAAACTCGAGTTTAGAATGAGCTGTTTAGAGCACTGCATTCAGTTCTGGGTCCTCAATGTAATAAAGACATGGACTTGTTGGAGTGGGTCTACAGGAGGACCACAAAAATGATCAGAAGGCTGGAGCACCTTTCCTGTCAAGACAGGTTGAAAGAGCTGGGCTTGTTCAGCCTGGAGAAGGGAAGGCTGCAGGGAACCACTACAGCAAACTTCCAGTACTGAAAAGGAGAGACGGGAATCTTTAACAGTGATGGGACAGGGAGTAATGACTTGAAATTAGAGTAAAGATTTAGACTAGACATTAGGAAAACAATTTTTCACAAGGACAGTGGTGAGGCACTGACACAGTCTGCCAGGAGAAGCTCTGGGTGCCCCATCCCTGGAGGAAGGTGCTGAAGGCCAGGTTGTGTGGGGTTCTGGGCAGCCTGTTCTTGGGGATTGGAAATAGATGATCTTCAAAGTTCCTTCCAACCCAACATTACAACCCAACATTTACATTTGGGAATTACAGATGTATTATTATAGCAGTTATGATCAAAAGTGGATTTGTAGATATTTAGCAATATCCTAGAAAACTGAAGACAATGCCAGAAACCCATGGATCAGAGTGTGATTAAAATGTTTTTGCTTCTTTATGTTTCCTTGAAGACTTTGCACAAAGTCATATAATTGGCAGTTTCTGTTAAATATTAATTTAAATTTGTTGCTGTGCAGACAGACCTAAAATGAAGTTTTTAGTAAGAATTTCTTTTAATTATATTGAACTTAGTTATCTCACATCAAATCTAAATTCTAAGTGGTAATCAATATGAATATCTATCATATATTTTCTTACCTTGTTTCAAACAAACATGCGCTCAAACTTGGCTTTTCTTGCATCTCTTTACAACTGAAAGTAACCTTGATGGGTTAATGTACAAGGTATATATGTATGTCAGATATGTATCAGGTACTATGTCTGTGCATTTCTCAAGTGTATTCCATATTTCCTTGTTTAGAATTTTTTTTATCAAGGAAATATCTTTGTTATCATCTGACAATCTAATATCATGCCTGATTTTTTTTTTTTTTCCCTCTACTTAATATTGTTTTTAGAGTGAGTCCTTACTGCAGCAGAAAACTAAAGAGCAAGAAGTCGCTTTGACAAAAGAGGCTCTACTCATTTTCAATGACATGAGAATGAAGTTCCCAGGAAAAACAGATGAAGAATCAGAATTAATTATAGAAGAAGTAAGTATCTATAAATAAGAAAGAAGAATTACAGTCTAGATACTTACTGTTTATGCTGCTAGAATGAAAAAAAGTAGAAAGTTCAATTTATGATTCATGAGCTCCTGTGGCCTTAGAACTTCCATAACTCAGGATAATTCAAAGATTTCAAAAGCTTGCAGCTTTGCACACTTTCTGACCTTAAAAAAGCAGCACTGAAAACATTCTTATGCCTTTATAAAATATATGACAACTATCAGAAAGATTAGGAAAAATCAGTTTTTCATTGTGGAGACAGTTCAGACTTTGAAGTAAGTTAAGAATAATGTTACAACTCATTAACAGTTTATATTTTATCTGGTATTGTTAGTGCAGATCCTGACATGTTTAATTTGAATATGCTTACGGAGAACACAGAGAGCTATGCTGGGAGGTTGCTAGTCATAACGATCACAATTCACACTCTTTTTTTTGGCTCCTATAGCCTGCTAGCTTGCATTTTCTCACATCCAACATTCCATCAGCCTTACCACTTGATATATGAAGCAATCCCTGATCTGAGGGAGAATTAAAAAGCAACATCTAATATTCGGCTATATAAGAAAAAATATATGGTATTTAAATCTCTTATAGATCTCTACTGCAAAGAAACTAACGTAAGCTTGGAAAAGAAAAAAATAGAGAGTTTTTTTCTCAATTCAGTAGAAATAGAGGGATGTAGTCATTTAATTTAACCCCTGTATTGTGATGTAAGTAAGCAGCTCACGGTGCGTTGAAATTCATCAGGCTAATTCCTTATCCAGTTGGAAATGCTCTTTATTCTCTTCTGTGAGTTTTTGAATTTGTAGAAATGTTTTTAAGTCTCCAATAATCTGTGCAAATGCATCACAGTGGAAAGGAATTGTCCTGTATTGGTGGTTGATTTAGTTGATTTTAAAAGACAGCATTTGTAAATAGCATGTTTGGATTCTCTTCTCAAAACTAGAAATAAAATTCATCATTAATTTTACTTTCAGAAATGCAAGAGCATATGCATATTTATCTATCTACGTGTGTGTGTGTGTGTGTGTGTGTTTGTAAATGCACTCCATCTAGTGGTGCATTCTAAATAGAGCGCTAGGATGATTTTAAATACTATTTCTTACTGCAGAATTCTCCTTAAAATTCATCTGTCTTTAATCAATTTCTGTTGGAAAGTATTTCTTCATGGAAGTAAAGAAGTAATTGTATATTAGCTGTCAAGCAGAGCTGGCCATAGGTCTGGAATAGAACACAAAGATAGAATAGTAAAAATGTATGCTCACAGTTTAAGCTATTTTGTTAGCCGACATCGTAAAAGGAAAATATTGCTCAACAACAATGATCATTTATAGAAAGCATGTTTTCGACGTGGATCTAATGTCCGTTATGAAACAAAGAAACTGTTATGCATTGTGGAACTCACAGTGCTGTTTTGAATGAATCACAACTGTGTCAGTCAAGACAGGCTTCTGTCTGCTTTGTAGTGTAGGGCTGTCAAAATCTAGGTACTAAAGATGGAAGGATTAAACTGCTGAACATATCTTGGCAAATGTCTCCCAATATGAATTTGAAAATATTTTAGAGAGAATCTTTTTACACAGAGATATTCTAGAAATTCCATATGTTAAAATTGTGAATATCTGTGAATGAAGTGTCAGATTGTGATTATTTTTACATGCATTTATTTTTTTCTTTTGTTTTGCAATGACTACAGATAATGGATAATTGGAAGTACCATAAAACAAAAGTGGCATCATATTGGTTAGTAAAACTGGATTCTGTAAAGCAACGAAAAGTAAGTGGTACAGATTTCGTTCTCTCAAGATCATCCGGGGTAGACAAATAGTAGTGTGCCTACTGGTGTTTAGCAGTTTTTGAGAGTGACTTGAGATGTTCCAATACTGGCTAGTTTCTCTAATGCATATGGATTAATCCTATTACAGGTAATGATGATGCTCCGTATTTAGACAAGTGTAATTATTCTGAAATATAATTACAAAAACAATTTCTTTAAAAACTGGACTGCTGAAAGAAAAGGGGGAAAAAAAAAGCCCTTGGATACCTATCCTTTTAGCAAACATTCTGAGAAGGATACTGATTCAGCAGATTTGATTGATAAGGATAGGTTAGTCAATAATTTCAGACTAGGAATGTTAAAACTCCATTAGGAGTTAGTGATTTTGCACTTCGTTAGTTGAGTCTTTGACACACTGTTTTACAACAGATCATGTTAAAGAAAAAACAGGCCAGCCAAGCACAGATTTTTAACATTGTTATAGCATTCAACTGTCTACTTTAGTCTTAGAAAGGAATAATTACATTTATTTATCATTCTGTCTTTATTCATCTGCTGTCTATGAGCTACTGTTGTATACAGCAGCTGAAGAATTTTTTCTCTTTTTAAAAACTGACACAGTATAGGATGCCAGACATATCTGTGTGACATAACATATGTCAGTCAGTCATCTTCCCAATATAATATTTATTTAACTTTTTATTTAACTTGCTGTAGAATAAATTTTTTTTTGTTAGTACTTAGGTGACCCTAAAGCAGTATTTGGATTTTAGTTTCAGTCACTGACAAAATATGTCGGTTAGCATATCTGTTCCAGGCATTTAATTTCTGTATTTCTCAGTTTCACAATCTATTTTATAGACCATAAAAGTAAGCAACTTAATAAAAGCGCTGCACACATGATAAATACTATCATTGGAAAAGGTTGGTTGATGGTTGAACAGGAGAACAATTTCTGATCCTCATCTCAACTTTTATTTAAAATCAGCCCTATGATTCTCAGGCTTTCAAACTGTATTTTATTGAACATTGCATTAAATGCTTGTTTTCGTACTGGACAGAGAGAACATTACCTTAATGTGATATCATTTGATAGAAATATATCTGACTATTCAAGTCAAATTATGAAGTTCAGATGCTACATTGAATGTGCATCTATACAGCTTTTAAAAGTTAAATTAGACATGACAGACTTGACAGCGTGGAAAGCTATAACATAACTAGAATTCTTCTTTAACCATGTCAAGTGGCAGCACTATAACTTAGCAGACTTCTTGTCCATTGTCAGGAATCTGTACAGCAGCCGTCTTCATTTGCTGAAATTGTTTAATTTTTTTCGTATCCTAGACCTTTTCCGCTGAATATTCCTTTGTCTAAAATGATCTAATTTGGTTCTTGTTACAGGAATGACTGTTGCAATGCCAATAGGCATTCACATAGGTCTTTTCCACTGTGTGCATGTGGCAGTTATAACCTTCAGTGCAAATCCAGAGATAGGCTTAGTGTGGACTTGTAGTGATATAGAGGAAGAGTTGCTGGGAGGATGGGGAGATGGACAGATATAGGTACATATACATGTATATATATAGCTAATTGTCTCAAATTCATGCTGCTGCTGCAGCAAACATCTCTTTGCAGCAGAAGTCTATGGGGCAGCTGTAGATAATAGAGATTGTGTTGCCAGAATTGATTCCTTTAGTCTGTGCAGCTAGGAGTGTGAATAAGGGTCCCTGAATGAGGCCCATAATTACAACTGATATACAGGGCTTTCACAAAAGACTAGTTAAGGTACTTTGTTTTCTTTTTTTTCTCTCTTTCTCCAATTATTCGTTTTTCCTCTCTACCTTCCTTTCCTTTTCTGTCTTCACCATCCCCCTATTCTTGTTTTTCATTCTTTTCAGAATGTTCTCTTGTAAGCACTATTATTATAATTTCCAAAAGTCTACAGTATAGGTTAGTTATGCCCTTTATTTGGCTGGCAGTCATGTAAAGGCAAGGGCACATTTACGTTGGGATGATACAGGTTGATATGCTAGGCTGTTATTGGTAAAACTGCACAACCACGAATATGGTTGTTTTTGCTGCTCTTTTGGGGGGCATCATTTGCTACTTGGGAAGCTAATGATTCTTGAAGCACAAGTGGGCCCTTCATCTTTGGACGCTGGAAATTTTTTTTTTTTCTTTACTGTTTTTAGCCTCAATCCCTTCAAGCTATCAGATAGTTATTCTTGGAAGGGTAGTTCATAAAAATGGATTAACTTTGACAATGACATTGCAGCTCAGGACTGCCAAATGTAAGCTTTTGTTGATTTGAAAGAAGTGTGTTTTATATTCCAGTGGGGTGGGTAAAGCAGAAAAGAGCTCAAGGTGAAGCATATTTATGCAAGTAAAGAATCTGTCTCAAAGGTACTTTCTGCAACTTTGTGAAATACAAAACAGGAACTCAGTCCCCTTAACTATACTTCAGAATTACTGGCAAGTTCTAAAAAAACGAGAAGAAAATACCTGGGCAATGCACAAGATTTCACGGTGCTTGTCCCTGACAGATGTATTTTCTTAAATATTATTCTACATAATGTAGAGAAATTAAACTCTTGCTCATATTCTTCCCTTCTAACATTACAACATTACAGCAGAGTTAAAGGAGGAATTTAGAAGAAAGCTATGAAATCAGTACATGCTAAAATGAAATTTAATCTTCCAAGACTTTTAGGAAAAAGAGACTTCTGTATGACAGGAGTTGTGACTGTTTTGTGTTACATCACTTTACATAATTTCTTTAAAAACTGTTTTGATGGTTACCAGAGGTCTGTTCATCTTGTTTTGAATATACTCTTTTATAACATCTTGTTCTGTTACACTTAGATAATTGGCTATGATGATGATGTAAATTGATGTAAACAGAAAGATGAAGGCAATCTAGGGAAATTAGCTTAGAAAAATGGGTCTGTATGCTCCATGAAGTTCCAGCCCTTTTGCAATGCCTTGTCTCTTTTTCTTAAATGGATGATTGAGGCTGTGTTTGCAAATTAAGAACAATTAACTGTGATATTTCCCACTCTGGCGTACTGGCAATGTCAACACAGCAAAAACAGAGCAGGTTGTTTTTTTTCCTCCTCCATAGTACCTGACTGTAGCTTGCTATAAGATGCAAGGCTCTATCCAGATGCTAAAAAAAAGGCTACTCAGTGGCATCTAATCTTTCTGTCTCACTCTTGGGGATCAAATGTGAGAGATCACAGCCTGTTTTTTCAACTGTATTTGCAAAGATTCTGAACAGATAGGACAGCAGTGTTCTCGTTGTAACTATATGCACTGGATTAAAACAACACCTATACATGAATACAATCCTATTTCTTCAAAAAAGAGCTCAAATAACATGTCAATGACACATCTCATCCGGGTTTTTATCAGACATCCACAGGTTTGTTTGTTTGTCGAGTGTGATAAGACTATTTACGAACAACAGTTTGTTATGCAGATCTAAAAAACTGAAATTCTACATCATGCTTCTATATTTTGTTTTTATTAAATCTCCTTCACCCTTTGAGACTTATATATTTAGCCACACAAGTCTGTCTTTCATACATCTAAAAGTTGCCACAGAGAGTACCATACTTTCTAAATTTTCAAATTTGCAACATCTTACACTGAAAGAATACCTTCATCAGTTCACCGCTCGGTTGAGTGTGATACTTTTTTGGAGATGATATTTTTATAAAGAGGCAACAAGGGTGCCCACGTTATGTAAAATTATGGGTATGTGGTTGGTTTTGTGGTTTTTTTTTTTGTTCTTTTTGTTGTTGTTGTTGTTTTTTTTTAAAGGCTACATGCACCATAGGCTCTTTTAGGGCAGAGTTCGGAGCTCCAATGAGGGGCCAAGTTACTACTAGAGTGTTCTGGAAGTTTACTGCTTCCTATTCCTGGTTTTATTGATGTATCTGAATAAACAGATGTCAGTACATTCTTTCAGCTTGTTTCCTTCCAGTAAGTATAGAGGGATCTTAGACGACTGACCGGAGAGAACTTACAGATGTAAAAACAGACATGATGAATCCCACTTTCCATTTTATATTTTTATATATATATATAAAATATCTAAAATGTCTTTCATTGCCATAGACATTACTCTTTTTACTTTTTAAATATTTTCCTATTTTGTTGCTTATTTCACTAGCTTATTTCTCAGCTGAAAGCTAAATTAAAATAGTTTGATCTAGTGCAAATGCTGAGTTTCAACAGACATTAAACCAGAAGCAGCTTTTTTAGTTTTTCAGGACATTTTAGTTCTTTATAAAATACATGGCATTTTAAAAGGGAGGGGAAAAAGAGATAATCTTCAAATTTATAATATTTGGGTTGTTAATTATGTTGCTTCTAGTCTCTAATTTTGTTTCACTTCAAATGCTTTTTGCCGTTTAAATTAGCTAGTATTCAACAGACTGAAAAAAAAAAGGAAAAGAACTTTTTTGCAATAAAAATAAAACATTTTTATTTAGTTTTCCAAAATTTTATTGACAGGAAAAGCATCTCATAAAGGTTTGCTGCTGAATGCACAGAAATGAAATGTAGTCATCTGTGGGAATTTACAGCTATGCAGTGATCTGTGTGTGCAGTGAATCAGAGAACAGTTGTTTTTTAGATTTTGCAGTATGCCTTTCTTTGATACGCTTCAAATACTGTTACCTAGGTTTTGGATATAGTCAAGACAAGTGTTCGTGCGGTCCTCCAGCATGTCTGGAAGGCTCCAGACATTGAAAATCTACATCTGTACCGTCTCTTTAACCGTGTATTTAATCGTTTACTTTGGAGCCATGGTCAAGGTCTGTGGAACTGTTTCTGTAATTCAGGGTAAGCCCATTTTACTTAATATCTTAATCTTTTTAATAACTTCACAGTTACGATCAATGCAAGCATACTTTATTGCTCATATTCATTCAAGAGAACACTGTAATACATTGAACTCATTTTAAAACAATGTATAGATGTAGTATAATTGGAAATCTAATAACCTATGCCAACTCTTTCAGTAATGGAATCCAACATTTAGTAAGATTTTCACAAATATAATAATCTGAGGACATAATCTAATTTTCTAAATAGCTGAGCTTTTGTTCAACTCTTTCATTTGGATAATCCACAATTTTTAGGCCAGGTCACTGTGTCAAATGTGGACTTACTCTCAAAAAAATCATTGCTGTCTCAAGACTTGTGAGAGGAAAGTTCAATCTCAGGTGCAACTATCTCTTGCCAAACGCAATCTCTGTTCTGTCATTTACAAAAAATGGGTCAGAATTTTTGAGCTTGATTATGTTTGCTGGTTCACACAGTGGTGGGAATTTAAGTATGTGCAGAATAGGAAATGTGCACACTGAGGTAAGCAGATATGCTTGGATTACAAATAAATTTTCTAGAGAGAAAAGAGCAGTCAGGCCATATTTTAAAAGTTCAATATCCTATGCTTCAAAATCTACATTCCTGAAATCAATGACATTTGTGTAAGGATTTTTTATACCTGTGGTCTGATTCTCCACATTTCTTGATAAAATGGTAATGTGTAAATATGAGATATATTGCATACAAAAATACATTTTTTCTGAAAGTATATATACAGTTTTTAAAAGAATGGGATGGGATTTTAGTAGCTTACATAAGATGTTTCAAGTGGCTTATTGAAGATGAACGACAAATGTCGTATGCTAATGGCTTTGTATCTACAAAAGAATCAAGCTCAATATATTCTTCTCTTGCAGTTATTTGTTGTATGTAGAGAACACATGTACTGCACTTGTTAATTATTTCCTAACATAATAGAAGAATGTGCTAACAAAAATGAGGGATCTGAGAGCATCCAAAAGGTCATCGATTTTGTTGTTGTCTTACAGTTATTTTCTCATTGCTGAAGGTTTGTTGTTGTGCGAACTGTTAAGTCATCTTATTTTTTTTTTTAGGGTTAAGACTTGTTAGAAGTAGCTGTCAGGAATTTAGCATGCTCAAAAAGTTAACACAGAAACCTTTTCTTAAGCTTGTTTTTCCAATCTAAAACACTTCTTTTACACAGTCCTCAACAGCTAAAGAGTCCCTTCTTAATGGCAGTAGAGGTGTGCAAATCTTTTAGTCAAAAGTTTTTTGCTGTGATATAATATTATATGTTCCCTTTCAGTAATGCTATTCTTATTTTGAATCTTATTTTTAGTGTTTTCTTTTGCAAATCATCTAATATGCATTGAAAAAAAATATCTTTTAAGCTTTTTCTTTTTAAAAATAATATATTTTGTTCAAAACCAATAAAGAATTCTGTTCACTTGGCTCAGGGAAACAGTCTTTGGGTTCAATGAAGAGCAGGATTTCCCATCTAGCAATACTTTCATTGATGCAGATCAAGTCCCAGCTGACTTGTGAGTGGAGCTATGCTCTTTGACAAACATCCAATTCCTTGTAAAAGGAGTTGTTATGTAAAAATTTCTAAAAATACTGTAAAAATATATATATGAATAACCACTATGTGTTGAGATCATTCTACATGTAACATACCTGCTACACAATTAATAGAAGCAAGCAAGTTGAAAGGATGTTTGTATCTAGTCAATATGTTGTTTATTCAGTTGCAATAAATCACTCTTGCCATGTAATGCTCAACACAGACCTCAAGACAACTATGCAACAGAGACCAGCTTCTCATCTGTCATCCTTAGGGTTAACTGTGCCATTTTAAAGAACAGTTTAGAATAAATGAAGGGCATGTGTAGAATTTGGGGACAAATGTGTGGAGGGAGGTATGACTGTGCTAATCAATAAACAGTATGAGTATGTGAAAATACATCAAGAAGTATGGCACTTTTATTATCAATTAATATGTACATCTTAGGAGAATAAGAAAGATAATAGCCATTAGCGCTTTTTTTTTTTTTTTTTTTTTTTTTTTTTTTTTTTATTAGCAAGAAGACTGAACAAAAAAACCAAAGAAATCCTAGTGAAATTACATGGATATAGATGATTTCATAAGGCTTCGTTTGTATTACTACATAGTAAACAATTACAACTAACCAGAAGATACAGTTGACCTGAGATGGCTTTAAAAACTATGAGAAATAATTGAAAGTATTACACAACCAAGCATAATATTCTCTAGATCTATTAAGAGCTCAGTGATTTCTTACTCATGTATGGAAACTTAAGTTACAGCATAATAAATTAAGCTTCACTGGGTAACAGTACTCCAGTCATTGTGATTGCAGTATAACGGAGTATGAACTGAATCTGTGCAGCTTATGGAGGAAATTGATCAGTAACACTTATATGAAATCTCATTAAAATTCACACATATATTTCCAAACATCAATCTTTTTTATTAGGGTAATTGTATATCATCACACTCGTTATCAACCATTATTATAGCAGGCCATATATTCTTCTTCACTGATAAAGTCTCTCATAACTGTGGGAAAGTAATCACAGACCTCAATGCCCAGAACTTAAGGAATTTATCAGGAGAGTTTCTAGCAGGAGATTTTGGAGATTTATGGGTTGAATTAGAAAATAATTACGTGTAACACTGTGAATCCGGTGAACGAATGTAATACTTAGAACTTCATTTTGCTCCTTTCCACCAGATGTCACATGGTGGAAGAAATAATAAAGACAGTAGATTAATTTTCATGCAGTAGTAAATGTGAAAATTTCATGGTCAGGGAACAATATTGAGAAAAATACATTAAGGAAAGCAGTTCTTCAAGGAGTATAATTATTCTGCTTATTAAATAAACACCTTTGCCTTAGAAAACATGTTTCTTAACTCATTATATGGATAAGAATTAATGAGACAAATACTTTTGTCAGTTGAATATTACCTATGCGATGGAAAATCTGTAGGACTGAACGGTTTCAGCTTGCACATACTATTTAGACTGGGAATCCAGGCTGAAAAATCAGGTATACGTGGTTTGTTTTACTCATTAATATTCATAATTGCATGCTAATACATTGCAATTAAAAAAATATATATCTCATTAGGCTGAAGAAGGCATGCTGGTTCTTTGATGTGTACTAAAATCCATTGTTTTAAGAACAAACATCTTACCTCAGGGATGTAAAGTCTACTACTGATCTCAGTGGGAAAAGGTAAATCATCCCAAATGCCATGTTGATCCCAAAAAATAGATGCAGCAAATTTCCCTCACTCTCTGAAGTGCTTCTTTAATAACCAAGTAAAAAGCATCGAGCTTACAATGCCATCTGTGGTACTGGGAAATGTTTTGATGAAAAAGTGGCCTTAACAGCGACCACATTGCCTTTAGAACATAGATAATGGTCTGTAATCTGATCAGGCTTTTGCATGAAGCATAACATAGGCACAAACACAAGTGTTAGTGTATATACTAAAACTAATATCAACTTCTGTAATAAACATATCAGGTATGTTTTATCATTTATTTTTTCATTTTTTGTTATTGTTTTTGAAACGGAAATGGCTTTTTAAGAAAACAAACAAAAGCATGATGGTCTGCATTTAGAAAAGAAAGCTTCTGTACATGCACCTTGTAAGTTGTACTTAATAGTGGGAGATCACCTCCATATGGCCAGATGGGATAATAAGCAGTATTTCAATGACTAAGCTTAAAATTTTTCTTCTTGTTGGGACAGGAAAGCAGAATGTGTGCTAATCTCCTTTATGTTCTTTTAATATTGATTTCTTGGTATTATGAACTTAAGTTATTATTGTGCTGTGGAGAGATTTATAAATAACATTTTGCTTTTATTAATATCACATCAGATCTGCATTCAGCTGGTGGCCTGTTAAAAATAGTGATTTTTCTTATTCCTGTTGCAAGACACCATCTACAATTACTTGACAGCAAATCTTTACGTGCTAAACCTAAGTAATAGCCCTATAAATGCTTAAGGAACATATTAAATGAAAAATAGATTTGGGAGTTTTCACATATGAAAATTAACTTTTTAATATGGTATTTGGACTCCCAGCATCTGAATTATTTGTTAAATAGTATAGAATATTTCTGTAAACAGGCATGTTAATGCATTTTCTCCTGTTCCTCTATTGTTAAATCTGATATAAATGAATAAAGCTCACAGATTGCAGAAAACATGAAGTCTTATTTGTTTCCATAACAGGAACTCTTGGGAAACCATATTCAGTAAAAGCACAGAGGTGGTGACTCCTGAGCAACTACAGTGTTGCCAACGAATAGTGCAGCTTTGTAAGCACTGCCTGCTAGTGGTGTACAAATATTCATCAGACTCAAGAGGATCCCTGACTGGAATTAGTCCTAGCTGGGATGATACAAGGTATGTACTTTAGTGTTCTCTTCCTAAAATACAATGATCAAAGGTAATACTGGGACAGAATTAATATAAGCCACTACTGCCACACTTCCCTTTAAACCTAGTTCACTAAATATTAAAAGAAAAAAAAAAAAAAAGGAAACCAACCAACCAAACAAACAAAAAAACAAAAAGAAAGGCAAAAATAAAAAACAAAACCCAGTTCCCTTGATAGAAAATGAAGACCATTTTGAGCTCTCTAGTCCTGTCATGAAGTGCTTCCCAAAAAATTAGGTATTCAGATCTTGTGTGAAACTACACTTATTAAAATCTTGATTGCCAACTGCTCAAGTAGCTGCAGCAAAGGCTTTTTGCAAAGTGAACTGAAAATTTCCTTTCTTCCCCTTCTCAGATCCCTCAAAGTCATTGATTCCAGATTTGCATTCCTAGAGGTATCCTAACATGTATGATACTTCTGGCTTGACATTCGCAGTGGGATGCTATAGGGCCTCAGCTCCAGCCAAGGGTCAGGTAAGTGCCATCTGATTTACTGTATTGCACAGTTTTGCAAAGTTGATTTCCAAACCCTACAGATTTCAAGTTTTATTATTTCATCTCACAGAACATAAATATGTTTTCAAACCTTGCAAAACAGCATCATATAGTAAAAAAAAACCTCTTTGGCACTTACCCGATTCTCCATTGGCTGGTTTAGTTTTTCAACTGGATACAATAAGGATCATATTGTCAGCACGGGGATCACTGAAAATCCTCCCAGTGTGGGAGTCAATGCTCTGTAATTTAACAACCTTAGATGGAAAATTTAACATAAGTTTCAAATTACTTAGGCTCCAAATTCTATCCATAATGGCAATTTGAATTATTACGTATATAAAATACAAAAACTTTGTTTATATGAAACATGTCACAGACGCTATATTAGAGAAGAGCTTCGTGAGTTAAATATCATGTGAAAAGCAAAAACTTTGATAAATTATCTGTTAAATTTATGACTTAATTGTGTACTTGGTATACCTAAGGCCAGTTATTTGATATACTAAATTCATTTGTTATTGTCGTATAAATCTAAAGGCGATCTAACAATTCAAAACCAGCTGAAAACTGCATTTGTTTGGTCACAGCAAAAGTCGAAGTACCTTAGCCACAAAACGAATCCTATTCAATATCAACATTACTGAGCTGCAGCAGGAGTCCGGTAAAGTAATTTGGTTTAGTTCAGAGTAGAAAATCTTCAGGCTTGAAGTTTTTATTGCTTTTACTGTTAATACTGCAGAAAATTTTTCATTGTAACCAACCACAAACTATTCAAACTGATCAGATTACTCTAATGTACTGCAGCTAACAATCTTGCATTTGGAAAGAGGTGGAATGGATGACCCAACAAAACTTTTTTCATCTCTGGTTTCTGTGTTTATTTTGACACTGAATGGAAGTTTATTCAAAACTTTTGCAAGCCAGAGGAATCTAGGACCTGGTAAAGCAATATGGTAGTTAACCATGACATTCTGAATTTGTGAGATGAAAGATATGTTTGGAAACAAATGCTCTTACCTACTGTGCCCCATATCATGTAAGGCAATGAACCACTATTTCTAGAAATGGGAGAAATACAGTATTGTTTCATCTAAGTTTCTGTCCTTAAATTACATAAGAAGCTGCACTACCACTAATAATTTTTTTGCCTAATAGTTAAATTTTGCAGGTGCAAGAGATCAGAGATAATTTAATAAATGTACGAAAAAGACATTGTTTCAAGACTCTCTAATGTCTAACTTGAAGAACTCCCTTTGTCTTTTTTTTTTTTTTTTTCTGACCAGAACACTGCTTTTTGTTTTGTGTTGATGACTAAAGCTTTCAAAGTTAGCAGATACTCCTTTATTTGGTAAAATCTATTTGTACATAGGAAGAGAAAAAGGATGTAATGAAAACAGCAGGGGTTCTTCTTTCCATTTTTTAGATTTGTTCTCAATCCCAGCTCCTTAACTCTACATCCACTCTATGTGATGCAGAGAATGAATAGGAGTAATAGTGCAAATGGGAATTAATGCCTTTTTTTCCACACAAAATTAAGTGTAGAGAAAACAATGAGACTACTCAAAAGTTATACCAAAACCTCTTCAGATAATAGCCAAGAAATGAACTGTATAAAGTGCCAGACCTTCCACATTTTGATAAATTCACTGATGTTAGAATATTTAAGAAATGTGAAAAATACCATCTATTACTAGATCCTTACAGCTTGCTAAGTGGCATTATGACAAATTCTCTGACAGGCACTAGGGCTGTTCTCTGTATCAACAAGAAAACACAGAACTCAGTCTGGTGAGGTAGTGAGCTATGAAACACATCACCAGCCCAGAACAAATCAGACGTTTTTTTCCCCCCTGTAAATTGATGAAAATAATAATAATATTTTGATAATAACGTGATTCGTAAGATCAATCCTTTAACTTATTCATCATTAATCAATATGACTCAGTAGAATGATGCAATGATTTTTTAAGCAATAATTTATATAATGTGTTGTGTTCATCCATCCTAACGCTGCCATAACTCATTACAACGCTCTGATTTTGTATGGATGTTATGTCTGCAGTTACTGTGCTCATGTAATAATTTCTGCAACTATTAGTAAATGATAAAATAAAAACAGATTTAAGAATGAGTATTAGAAATGATAAATCACTTTTATAGCATTATATAAAATACGAACAATATAGCTGTATGAATATAGAAATATAAATCATGTGACTCACAGTGTTGCTGCATCACTGTTTCTTGCTTTACAAGAACTGTGATGCTAGCATGGCAATTTTTAGGGAAGGACAGCAGGAAATCAAAGCTGAGAAATTGTTTTGTTTTTTTTTTCTAATAAACATTTTTTAGCAACTTAAATTTTAATAATCTAGTTAACATAAACTGCAGTTTTTACCCAGTTTAAATTGAACAAGTAGTTCTACAATAACAAAGACAATGAGTGAAATGTTAAATTTGGATGGCAGTGTTGCACAGGATGCCACTGTTTTTATTTACCTTCTTGCTTTAAACATTGAGAACTGGCAAGATGTTTGATTATCTTACACCATCCTGAAATTTTGCTAAACTGTCCCTGACCTTAGGATCTGTTTAATGAGTTATTCATTGCCTAGTATTCCTTATGTGTTATAAATAGTGCTTATCATACGTATTTTCTTGTATTTAACCATTATAAAGTAAGCACATGAACAACTAACTGCTTCAATCTTGAATCTTGGTCTTACCTATAAATTCTGCTATATTTTTCATATCATTTCCAGGTGTTTATTGCCAGAACCACCACAGTTCATCATGAAATCATCCTCGTCCAACCTCAGCTGCAGTTCATCTGGAATGCCTCGCCCCAACATTTTGTTCACACGCAGATACAGTCACCTGTGAAGGAAAAGTTACTTTTCATTGTAAATAATGGCACTCCATTTTTATTTTCAAATTAAATTTGTGATGGAGCTAAATACAACACTGTTATATATAATATACCATATTATGATAACATTTAGCTTGAAACTTACTGTAAAAGCAAAGCTTTTCTGGAAGCATAATAAACCTTGTTAAGTTGTTTACACACATGAATGTGTAGATCTTGCTAGGTTTATAAGTAATTCCTTCCTACTAGAAATGTTATTTTTGCTGCAGAATATATAAGATGGAGTTGAAGATCTTGAAGATCCTATTACAGTGTTACATTATTTTCTACATACAATACTTTTGAGTTGAATATTATTTATTGTAAAGTATGCTATTTATTGTCTCAAATGTAAGACAAGAGCCTTTAAAGAGACAGATGAATAAAAAAACTGTAGTAGAACAAATAAGACTGTAATTATTATTAAAAATAACCTTACCATTTCTTGGATATGTTTAAAATAATCCCCAAAACTCTGTAAGCCAAACATTTCTCCTCTGAAATTACAGGCTCTGCTTAAAGCTGTTGCGCTTCTTAAAGGACATGTCATAGTATCTTTTAGAAAAAGTGAAGAAATTCTGTATGCAAACAGCAAAAATACCAGTTCAGGCATTCACTTTCTAATTGGATTTTTGTAATAATACAGAAGCCAATATTTGTTGTCAGGCTTTCATTCACATTAACTGTGGCCTGTGCCTTTGGGAGCAAGCAGTCACCTACAACTTGTACAAGCATGCATAGTGAGTATTTTTTCTGTTTTACTGCACAAGTGGTGAAACAGACATTTTTAGGAAATACTGCAGCTATAATATATTATTTCAATCTTACACTAATTGGTTTGCTGTAGCTTTTAACATACAATTCAGTACATACTGCAGAATGTATCATTTAACTAGACAGTATTTTCTAGACTTGTGGCACCTTTAAATGTTGAAATATAATTCATTGGAAAGCTCTCATTCAGATTCAGCTTCCTGTGCCTGGCTGAAGAGCACTGAAAGAAACTGAGCCAGAGCATGGATGTAGAATTAACAGGGCATGTAACCTGAAAACATCATTCAGGTTTGCTATGTAGACACATTCATCTCATTCAGCACTGTGCCATATAAGCCTTATTAATTATATAAATAGTTATTTAAAATGAATTAACCTAGATTTAAAAATGAATTAAGTTTTTAAACTAAGTAAAGGACAAAGTAGTAGATATTTACCAAAGATGTGCTTACTTTCCAACAATAAAAACTGCAAATGTGTTTGTCAATTACTAGTGAATTTTATGTAGGTTGCTCTGAAAGTAATGCCTCCTGTTTATTTCCATGGAAACAGCAACAAAGACAAAGAGCACAATAATGCTACTGATAGAGCAAATTTTCAGCTACAAAAGATTGTTTTTCAATGTCGTCACCACCATTAGGTATTCATTTTCACTGGTGATAAACACGAGCCTGCATGTCGCACTCACAGAAGTCTGCATGACTGTCCAGAACATGGCTTGTCTTTCATGTTGCTGTCACCACTGCTGAAACACACCACTCACTGCCTTGCTGTTCTCACATCCACTGTCTGGCATCCATAAATGCTCACCAAGTGTTGATGAATATCACTGGGAACCAATTCAGTGATGCACCTTTGCTTCATCTGCACTTCCATGTCAGATGCAATTCTGTCAGATAGCAAAAAAATGTAACAGGATACCTACTGGGAAGGTTCAGCCTCTACTGCATCCCACCATCACTCAACTCTGATATCGCGGCCAACATCATAAAAAAGGAGGCATTACATTTGGTGCAGCCCTCATAAGTATACACTAAAAAATAATTTTGGGGGGAAGTTGTCCTCAGGAGCAAGCATATTAGAGCACTATCTAGACTATCTAGACTATCTAGACTATCTAGAGATTTAAGAGACTTAAGAGATTTGAGACTTGAACTTGTTTGGAACTTAATGTTTTAAGCCTTAGCTATAGCATGTATATCAAGTTGGGAATTTTGGTAAGACTTTTGAAGCCTCTGTTGTTGTCCATCAGTTCTAGAATTGCAGGATACAACACAGCAAAAATATTTGTAAACAATTAACAAACCTCTGAGATAAGCCAGATATAAGTAGTCTTCTGGTCTGGTAAAGATTTTTCATTTTCATGGTAATACTAGTTCAGTAATATAGCATATTCACAATAATTGTATATCTTTTTAGATCCATACAGTGACTACTGATAAAGCGTACTGTGGTTATCTGTAACACACAATAAAAGCTGTACATCTCTCTTCCTGGAGGAGGCTTCCACTGTATTCTGCTGTGGGTCATAGTGGGAAAACCAGCTTCCAGTCTAGCTTGCCAAACTCAGACTGAACCCTGCCACAGCAGGCTCACACAACTCTTTTTTTAATTTTTTTTTTTTAATTATTATTTTATTCTTCTGTTTTAAACTTCTTTTGATCAGTATTCTCAGAGGGCAGTGCTGGGACAGGTCAATCTGTACGGAGTACTCTGGCAATGGAAAGAGAACTCCTGTGGGCAGACCTGGAAACAAATAACACATTTAGTATGAACAAAAGTGGACCAGATGGTTGGTGCATGTCTGATGTTACTTATTTCTGCTAACCTTTCCTAATGTGGTGCTGTGTTCCTAACAATGTGGTGATCAATACATAAAATAAGCGTAATCTCAGATTTTCTTGCCAGCTTCTGAGTGTGCATGGCCCACAAAGGAGAGCAGGCTGGCTGCACCTGCAGTCCAATCCAGATAGTGCGAAGGGAGAAAGCATTGCTGCGTTCCTCCCGCGCTCGGTCCTGACCCTGGGCTCGTTTTGTAGCTGCACTACGACCTGAGCAACTGAAAAAAATCCCTCCAGCACGCGCGGGGCTGTAGCGTTACGCAGGAGCAGAGTTTCTGGCTCACCGCCCCGGCTGAGCTGCGGGCTGGGTTCCGGCCAGGCCCTTGCGGAACACCGGGCAGCGACGTTGCTAAATTCCATTAATGACCTAATCTTTATAAACCCGCTGATACTTATTCAAAAACACTGACGCTTAGAGGAGACTTGTACTTCCCATTCGTTTTCCTCGGGGCCGGCTAGCAGCACGCGCAACGGCTCCCTGCCGGCCTCGCGCTGCCCATCCCGAGCCGCCGCGCGGGGCGGGAGCCGGGTCCCGCGCCGCTGCACGAGGCGCCACGAGGCGGCACGAGGCAGCCGCTGGCCTGGGAGGCGCCGCGCTGCCGCCCGCGTGTGGCCGCGGCACGAAGCGGGGCTCACCTCACCGGCCCGGGGCCGCCGGCAGAGGGCGGCAGCAGCAGCAACAGCAGCAGCAGGAGGTAAGGGGTGGCTGTCGGGGCGGGGGGGACCGGCATGGAGGTCAGGGTGCTTCCCCGCCCAGAGGCGGTACTGCGATAACTTCAGCCTGCCGTTGCAAAATGCAAGGTGTGATCACCGTAAAGAAAAAAAAAAAAAAAAAAAAAAAAAAAGAAAAAAAAAAAGTGTGTACTGCTAGCTGGGTGTCCAAAACCTAAATCACCTCAGTCAGGTCAAGCCCGTGTACGGATGTTTGGAAGGAGGCAGCAGCTGCTGTGATTTGGGTGCAAATCTCTCACGGTTTCTTCAGCGCCGGGCACCTGCGGAGTGCAATGGCAGCGCCGTGCTCCGGCTGCTCACGTGCTCGAGTTGCTTCTCAGCGAGGCGCGCAGCTGCACGGTCGGGCTCAGAAGGACCACTTAGGAAATCTCACAAAGTTTTCGCTCCGTATTTGTGCTGTGAAGCAGTTCTTAACCTGTGAGAGTGCAGCCTCCTGGCATCTCCGTCAGCCTTTACTGGAGAAAAGCACCTTGGGCACTCGGTAGGAGTTGCGTCGGTGCGTGCTGCGAGCAGGGCGCCCGGGGGCTGACCGGAGGGCATGGCTGGAAGCTGCTGCTGCTGCAGAGCTGGTACCTGCCTGTTCTGCACTGCGGGCCCAGGAGTTTCGTTCTCTGGTAAAAGAAAGCGCATATAAATTTGCTTCTTTAGTTCTTGGTAACAAGGTTGGGATTCTAAATACAAAATCAGAGCAGCAAAGAAAATACACCTTTGAAAGGATTGGTTTGGCAAAGTAACTTTCAAGGAAACAGTATTCATAGCAATACTTACTTGCTAGACGTTGGCCTTGGGCTGACGTTCGGCCTGGAATATTTTGTCCTCTATGTGGATGCCAGCCACCTAATTTCTGATTCTCTATCCAGGAAATTTAACGAATTCACATCAGCTGTTAAAACTACATCTGAATGATTTCGTTGCTGGGCTAGCTGCTCACGTTCATTATTTAACATACACACATCTATTTACAGTTTTTGCCCTTTCCTTGAATCTTCAAGCAGAAAGTTTGGATTACATTGACATTTATATAACATCTAATTTAGGCATTTGCAAATGTGACTATTTGCAAGTCAGCTTTGCATGCAGTGTTAAAACGGTTAACTTGGAGCTGTTGTGTTTATTCCCATTTTCAGGAGATCATTTGCTGTTAAATCGTATAGCTGCTGGAAAATCTTTCACTCTGGCATTTGCTAAAAACGTTCGTAATGTTTTTCTGCGTGTGGTGAAATTCCCATGCATTAGTTATTATTCTGCCTCTATGTTCTTTGTTCTCTGTCAGCCACCTCTGTGCAATTTCCTATGTTGTTCAAATGTTTTGTTAATGCAGAAGCTCTTTGTTGGTATGTAAATAGCTGTAGCACTTAGGACTCTCAAGAAAACCAGCAGTAATTTTACCATTTATGTATATGGAACAAGAGCAGATTCTACTTGTGGGGGAGCAAGACAGTCTTAGTGGCTTTGTGTGTGTGTGTGTCCTTGTTTCTTCTCTTAAAACAAAAGGCAGCCTTCCCGTAGCTTTCTTATCGCTGCACTTAACACTCCTCTTCTTTCACAATAGGTGATATTACCACAAAATTATGCATTTAAAACTGATTTTTATGGCCTTTAAATGCCCTGTGAATGGGTCTGTCTGTTCTTAGTGACATAGAGCAAAATGGAGCCTGCCTCTGGCTGAAATGGTGGTTGACACCGAGCTCCAGAACCCGCTTTATATTCCATATCAACTGCACAGCGGTCCGTCACCTCTGCGCCTATCGCTGTCAGGAGTTATCAGCCTCGTCGCGGAGGGCAGCAGAGTGCAGGGAAGTGACCCGTGCCCGCCGTGGCTGCTGCACTGTGATCAAACAACTGCTCGTGGCTGCTGGAAAGCAGTTCTGCCAAGCGCTGTTACGCAGCTTGCTGCAGCAGGGTGACGGGGTGTGCAGCTCACTTGCTGCAGAGGACTGGCTTTGAAAGCTGAGGGTGGCGGTCATGAAGTACAGTGATGCCCAGAAGGGCTAAGAGGAGTCAGGATATCTGGTAGGAAAATTCATTATCCCGGAGCAGGTTTTGCATTAAATGCTTTTCTTGCGCCCATTCTTGTGGAAATGATTGGCTCTGTTGCAGCAGAACAAAAGACTGCTTTGTTAAATGTTATATCTGTGAATTTTTACTGAATGGAATTGTGTCATCTGACTGCATATATACTTGATTGTTCCTGTCATAATTCACCACGTTCCACTTTTTAAAAAGTTTTTCAGAAGGAGTAGAGGGCCCTATTTTCTCTATAGGAGATTTCCTTAAGAAGATAAAGGAAAAAATGTCACAGTATACTGTTGTGAGTTCTGTGTAGAGCATTTCTTGATCTGGCTCAGACATCAGACATTGTCCACTTGTCAATGCATAAGGATTTGCCATGGGAGTAACTTGCTTTGCAATGAGCTCTGAGGATACCCATGTGGACTCAGCAATCCATTGAATGATGCATCTGGTGTGAGACTGGGTAGAGGTGAAAATGCTGTATGTTTCCAGGAGGATGCACCTGCACCTGCAGCCAGCTTTGTGCACTCAGCTCTGCTGAGTGCTGAATGTTCTCAGCTTTCACCGAGGTCGCTTCCTTGTGGCTCTGACATTGCTCACTGTGCCTGGGACTTGCTGTGTGCCACGCATGACTTCAGGCTTTGTTGGTACAAGCTCATGTTTGGTAAAATAACCAACGTGCCTTTGCAAATGCAGTATATTAAGCAGCTAAGCATTGCTAATGAGAAGCAGGGTGGACTGTGCAGAGATTTGTACTATCTCTGGTACCTGAATTAGTAGGTGATGTGCAGTGTGACATATTTTTAGTTAGAAACACCATGGGTAAATGGCCAACAATCTGAAATGTATGTCAGGTGGGAAAGAGCTGCAGCAGCTGCAGCTACCCTTCCCTTTCAGGCCCATTAGACGATTTCTGGCATTCTACTAAGCAGGATAATTGGGAATTACAACCTGTGCTTGCAGGGTTTGTGCTGCTAATAGAGGTAATCCCTTCTTTTACACAATCGTATAGGACTCCAGCCATCTGATTTATTTTACTCTAATTCAGAGAATGAATAAAGCACCTGCATAGAGATGACATGGTACTAGAAAATAAGCTACAGGGCAGTTTAAGTTTAGTCACATCATTGTCTGTTGCTTCGGTGTTCAGTACATTATGCCACCAGAGGCAACAGAGAAAGCTTATTGGCGTAGTAAAAAATAAGTACTTCTGACACTTAAAATAATTTCTACAAGTGTTGGTGAGCGAGGCCTGACAGCCTCTTCCAATCATTAATTTACTTAACTTGTGGGAAGATCTGTCAGAATGCTCAGCATGAATTCCTGCGGCTGCTTGGTTGGGTTCTGCTCAGGGTGCACTAAAGTTCACTGTATTGCACACCGAGCACAGGCTTTGTGTACGCCTAGAGTTTTGTCTGCTGTTATTTTGGAGGATGTGTTCCTTGCCTGTCACCGCATCCCTTGGTTTTGTTTTGAAATGTGTGACATAAAACAGAAACAGCTCTCTTCCTTCCTTCAGCCTTTTGGCATACGGAGAAATGGAATGCTTTGCTCCGCTGATATGCCACTGCATTTGACAGTGCTGGTCACAATTGCTGAATAATGGAAACATGGATAGCAAGAGAATTTCGGGAGGAAAGCAGTGTACAGTGTAGCATTTTCATACTTACGTGTTTCCAAGCTGCTGGGATCTTTCTTGCTCGCATTATTACAGCTTTCAGAGCAGTGTGGCTGTTTGGTGTGATAGGGGAAGGCATCACTAACACTCAGTGTTCTTTCTGAAGTGGAAAAAATTGCAGTTTTTCCTCCCTACTCCTCCCCCCCCCTCCAATCAGGTTAAGGAAACAGTAAGTACTGTACATCTTACAACTTCCAAATGCTAACAAATCTGGACTGGAAGCAAA